AGACAAAATTAGAAATAGGGACTTTAATCACATTCTGAGCCCCCCAAAGCAGGATGTAAAACTATCGTTACTATATTTTATCCTACCAATACTTTTTGCTCCAAGAGGTAAATTCAAATAATTGGTTTTATTTGTAATTTATAATTATTTTCAATAGAAATATAAGCACAAAGTAATACATGACTAAATCTGAAATGACTGAAATAAATAAGCACATTTAGAGTATTTATTTACTGAGTGGTACTGGGGTTTAAACCCAGGGCTTTCATACTAAGCTAATTTCCCTCCCTTTTTATTTTCTGTTTTGAGATAATGTCTAAGTTGCTAAGTTTTCAGGCTGGGCTCAAACTTGCCGTCCTCCTGCCGTTGTCTCCCAGAGTACTGGGATGGTAGGCCTGTACCATCATGCCGGTTTAACATTTACTAAATTAACTGAAGAATCAAATGTCCTATAAAATTTATTATAGGTAAAATTTTGATAGGGATTTCTAAAGAAAAAAATAAAATTATACATAGACAAGAATCCTGAGTAGATCCATTTCAATAAAATTAAATATCAGATAAAAATTGGGAAAGAATACTTATGATATGTTAAAAATTGTTTAGAAAATTAATATAATATCTTCCATGGGAGGAAACCTTCCTGTAAAGTGCATTCATTTTCTGTATCACACTGCCAACACTATCTGCAGAGTTAAAATTTTCACTGTGTCTCGATAGGACAAAAAGGCAAAGTCAAAGGGTTTTACTCCCTCTCACAATATTCATGTAACTTAATATTCCCCTTCCCGGGCTGGGAAATCTAGTGATGAACCTCATGTGTGACCGGCTCCTCTGGGTCCTCCCGAGCCACACTAGCAAGCTCTTCCCCTTCATCTCCCCACTTTACCTCCACATTCCTTTTTTTTTTTTTTTTTAATTGAATGTATTGGTACTTTCTAGGCAGACAGTACAGATACATTCATTACTGGGATCTTGTACCTTTACATGCCAGGTCTTGGTTCTCATTTTTTCCTCTTGTCCCCACCCTTCCTTCACCCCCCCCCAAACACTTCAATTCCATTTTTACATTTTCTCATATTTTTTTCCTTTTCCCTTATTCCCCCTTCCCTATCCTTCTCACTGTCCCTACACCTTTGGTCCTTTTCTTCCTATTTGCTAAGTGTCCCATTAGGATCTTGAGTACTATTTTAGTTTTTCACACCAGACAAACTATTCGGTATTTGCATATGTGTGCCTTATTTATTTCACTTAAAAGTATATCCTCAAAATGTACCCACTTAACTATGGATGAATCCACTTTCTCATTCTTTATGGCTGAGTAGTATTCCATTTTGTAGAAAAACCACATCTTCTTTATCCAGTTTCCAATTGATGGGCAGATGGGCTGTTTCCAGGTTTTAGCTATTACAAACTGTGCGGCTACAAACATGGGTGCACATATATCACTGTGGTATGATTCTTTCACTTCTTTTGGAAAGAAACCCAGCAGAGGGATGGCTGGGTCAAATGGAACCTCTAATCCTAGTTCTTTGAGGTATCTCCATATCGACTTCCACAGTGGTTGCACCAGTCTGCACTCCCACCAACAATGGAGAAGGGTTCCTTTCTCCCCAAAACTGCGCCAGCATTTGTTATTGTGTGATTTCTTGATAGCAGCCATTCTTTGTGGGGTGAGGTGGAATCTCAGTGTTGTTTTCATCTCGAATGACCAGTGATGTGGAGCATTTTTTCATATATTTACTTGCTGCTTTTATTTCTTTGTCTGAGAAATGTCTGTTCATTCCAGATGCCCACTTTAGAATTGGGTCTTTATATTTGGGGGGCTGGTTGTTTTGAGTTCTTTATATATTTTAGATAATAGTCCTTTGTCTGAGGAGCAGCTGGTAAAAAGTTTTTCCCACAGACATCCACATTCTTATTGAGCCGAAATTCTCATTGCATTTTCCTACCCGATAGTCTGGGAAATTGCTTGGGATCATTTTATTATGCTGGCAAGCCACATTCTGTCCTTCCTTCCTGTCTTCTTCTGGGAGGAATGAGTGCTTCCACTAAGGCCTATCACTTTAAGCTTCAATTGCCAGCTTCCCACCCTGCCAAAGTTTTCAGCACTGCTAGAACTTCCAGTTTATGCTGCCAGTTCATCGCAGCCCAATCTATCAAAGCTGTCATATTTAAACAGTGTTACTGCTATAATGTACCCCCGCCTCCCCCGTCTAGGTGTAAAGCTATGGAGACCAGGAGGAGATTCTCCATAGCCTAAGACTAGCTCTTGTCTTGTATTACTCAACTTTCTCTTCCTTTGGGATGAATTTTTTTTTCCAGGAAACTCCTCAGTCCCTCATGCAGTGGACTCAGATAAGATAGATGGCTTTATAAGCTGTCTACATATAAGAGTCGCAGGATGACTGTGGCTCAGGTCCAAGATGGGCCCTACCACATCACCTTGTCTTATAGGTGTTCCTCATTCTGAAGCACAAGATGCCAAAAGATGAAACTGTAGATTGTTAACCCATGGGTTTATCCTTGATACTTGGCCTCTCTACAATGCTTTTGAATGACCAACAACCTTTTCAAATACACAACCAAACATTAAGGTAAATATTTTATTTTTTCAAATGGAAATAACAAATGCATTTTTGCTATGGATTATTAAATATGGAACTATATTCTTTATGATATTTTACTACTGTTTTTAATTTGCAAAGAAATTTGGCAGTTAAACAGGACTTAAGACATGTAACCATTCAAGTTATTTTATTTTTGTCTTAATATAACTAAATATGATTTCAGCTACTGATAAGAAACTTACACTGTTTATGCCAGACATGGTGGCAGTTGCCTGTAATCTCAGCACTCAGGAGGCAGAGGCAAGAGGATTTCCACGAGTTTGAGGCCATCCGAGGCTACATAGTGAGTTCAAGGCCAGCCTGAACTACATAGGGAGATCTCGTCTCAAAAAAGAAAAAAAGAAAAAAGAAAAAGAAACTGATACTGTTTAATTATGATGCTATTTAAGAAGTAAATGACACTCTTTTTTGATTGCTAATCTGAATTTTCCTTCTCCTCTGAAGGAAAATGTTCTCTCAAGTTTAATAGTAAGCACATCATGTTTAAAAACAGAAGTGTTTGGTAAGACTTCACCTTACCCTAACACCACATTTGAGAATAAAAAGAATGAATTTAAGCTCCAATGTCAATATTTTCCTGCTGAATAAAAACATAAAATATGTTTTTAAGTAAGGTAAAGAGCTTAGGGAAAATTCTTTACTTCTTTATCACTTTGTAGTTGATAATGACTTCGTATGACACAGGAAGTAAAAATTGAACGATCATTTATTTTCAATAGAATTCCCAACAAAGAAAATATAGTTCAGCTAAGAGTTTAAATTTTATACACGTATATACATAGTTTAAACTGTAGAAATTTAGTCTGGATCACTATTTCCTGACAAATCTAGCAGCCATTTCTGAAGTGTTATCCATCAGTCTAATTCCACGTGGTCAGTAGAGCTCAGGAACTCAAGACACTTGATGGCATATTAATGGTTTCATTCAGACTGTTTTCAGAGCTTAGATCATCTAGATCATGGATTGGGAAAAGAGCCAGAACCAAAAGACTTTGCAAAATGCTTATGATGAAGGATTTATATAGAAATATGTGAGGCGTGCATGGGACAATTAATTACGGAACATAATGTCCTGCACCTTGCTCAATAGTGAGAGTTGAAACCAGTCAGGGTTCTTATTACCTCTCAAAAGGGTTTTAACCTGGCATTTCAGGGCAGAGCTTTAGTTCTGCTTCCCCAAATATAATCGTATTACTATTTTCCCCCACTTTTTCCCTTTACATTATGTCCTTACCTGTTCTAAATGGATTAGGCTTTCCTGGGAGAGCAAAAGCCAAATCGCTACAGAATTTAATTCTCATTACACTTTTCAAATTCCACTGTATTCGTTATTTTGATGAATATTTTAAATTCCTTTTTGTATTTCTCCTTTCAAAGTTTGTGTTTTAAACAACTGCTCTGCTTCGTGTCTAACCATAGGCCTTCAGACATATTCGAGTGTAGGATTTTCCTAGGTCTTGCCAGATAGACGTAGAATCTTGAGAATGCCTGGCGCGTTTCTCCGTCACTCTGCCCTTCCACACTCTCGGTTTCCTGCTTTTGATGCGGTAGGACCTGTTGAGATTTTAAAATGTTGAGAGTCAACATCTGATAAGCACATTAATCTTTGTGAGAGGCCTCTTCTTGTCAAATTTTTGCCCAGTGATCAAGAGAGTTTGCACAGCAGTTGCAGAAAAGGAGGCAGTGAGTTCATATTCCGGTTATTTTGTGGTACCTCAACAATGAATGAAATTGTCAAAAGCTCATGAGTGAATGCATAGAAAAGATAAATCCAAAAAGGTCTAGATACCTATGAACCAAATTTCGGGCATAAAGTAGAGTTTTGCTCAGTTTAATTCAATTTTTAAAAGAAGAAAATTACAAAGGATATGTATGTAGTAGCCTTTGAAAAGATAGCCCCAGGCATGACGCACTGCTGCACACATAAAATCTCAGCACTCGGGATGTTAAGGCAGGAGGATTGCCACAAATCGGAGACCAACCTGAGTTATATAGTGAGACCCCCAGAAAAGTCAAAGAAAGAGGGAAGGAGGGGAGAGGGAGGGAAGGAAGGAAGGGCACGGAGGAGGGAGCGAAGGGAATTTAGAACAAGAAGGAGAAAAGGAGAAGCAAAGGGAGGAAGAAGAGGGAGGGAGGGAGGGAGGGAAGGGAAGAAGCAGGAAGCGGGTGGGGAAAGACAACCTTAACTTTCTGGTTGGATTTACTCTGACGTTTCCCTGAAATATCACAAATCTACAGTTATTTAATTGAGGTGTTTTGAAAAAATATTAATGTGATGTCTGCTTTTTTTTTTTTTTTTTTTTTTTTTTTTTTTTTTTTTTTTTTTTTTTTTTTTTTTTTTTTTTTTTTTTTTTTTTTTTTTTTTTTTAGGTCAGTCTCGATTCTCGAGTTAGAGAGGTCATCAATAGAAATCTGTTGGATCCTAACCCTCACATGTACGAAGATGCCCAACTTCAGATATATACCTTAATGCACAGAGATTCTTTTCCAAGGTTTTTGAACTCTCAGATTTATAAGTCATTTGTTGAAAGTACTGCCAGCTCTTCTTCTGAATCATAATTTTTATTTTAAAAAATCATTTCAGAGGGCTGGGAAGGGAAACAGAAATAGTTACATAACATCAAAAATTAAGTTCCTGGAGGACTCCAGTTTTAGCATTCCTCAGGCTACTGTGAAAATATTACCATCATGGTCTTTGTCTCCATTTTTATCAAGGTTATCCGTTATTGAGTTTGGAGAAAATACAACATAAAACAAAGAATTGCCAAATTAAGTTTGTTTTATTCAACACTCATGCTACTTGCAAACCAACTGTATTTGTAGGCCTACAGTCTCGTAGTGTATCTCCAGAGACTGCATGTGCGAAGTAAAACTGCTTCATTTGCCACATAGTTATTGTACTATTTAATCAAATAGCATAACTTATATCTGTATTTAAGAACTTTTGTGCAATATAGTCTTACTAAATAATTGCCAAAACTTGGCTGTTGTTTGCATTTTTTAAACATCTGAAGCAGAAAAAAGGCAGTTTTTAAAATGTAACAATAGTATTCAACATGCTATATACTGTGTTTAGTACACTAATTTTGAAGCCAATATTTCTGTATATGAAAAAAGAGCTATTTATCTGTTTGTTGGAAAATTCCAAGGAAAGATTCCTCTGGTTGTTCACTGCCAATACTGTGGCATTTTCATAACAGAAGACTTTGCTCTGTTAAAAATAAAAAAAAGAAAACAAAAAAAAAGCACAAAACAATTTGAAGATATCCTAGCTCAATGACAAATCAAAGAGTGGTATTGTTTTTAATTGTAATAGAAAATGAATCTATGTATATATCATATGTCCCATACTGTAACTAATTTATTAAAAACTGGCTCTCCAGTTCTGTGATGGTTGTGTAAAGTTATGTACTTCAGCAAGAAAAAAATAAGCTTGATAACTTAGTTTTGGAATCTAAAGAAAAGGATTTAATAAAGGAATGCCTATATGTAGCACTGTAAAACATTTTGAAGAATAGGATCTGTCCTGTGCTTGAAAGTAAAATCCAGTGAAAAGCTAAGTTTTGCTATGAAAAGTTTTGTAAAAAGATTACTTGTGAAGAAGATAATTCTCTACTTCAGACCTTAACTGTTTTCACATAGTATCTTTAAAATAACTTATTTTAAAAATGTTCAAACCAAACTGTTCATTCTCATCCATAATGAAAAGGCAGTACAGTGCTCAAATCTTTTAGCTGCCATATTATTTTTATAATTACACTAACTCTTTAAAAATACTACTTGCCTGACATTGGCTTGTACTTCTGATATTCAAGAAAACAATGTCCTATTGTGCACAAAATAATAATAATGATAATAATTAGTGTCATATTTATATCAAGGTGTAACATTTGAATATTAATATCCCCTGAATACTATTTTTTTAATCTTAAAGTGAATATAATACTGAGAAAACTAAAATGGAAGTTTTAAAAAGATTTATATCCATGGAGAATACTGGCCTTATATTAAGGATGATATTAAAATTATGTTTTCTTTGTCATTTTTAACTACCTCTCATTTTTTAATTTATTAAACATATTTTTAAAAACCAAGTTTGGGGTTTTCTTTTTAAATTTACTTTACTTGAAAGGTTGGCATAGTAAGTTTCTTTTTCCATAAATTGTAAGCATTTCAAGAATTTTTTAAGTAACTATGATTTTATAATTTATATAGAATTCAGGAGACATGAATTAAGGGCTATTATCTATTCCCTATGCAAATATTTTAACTGTTGCAGTGTTTGACAAAATGGGATTTAAAAAAATTTTCAGAGTAGGAAACAAAATGTTCTGTTTACACTGGCATTGCTGACTATCCTACCATATTCAGCACTTTTAAATACATTCTTTATGAAAATATAGTTAATACACAAGATAGAAAATATTTATAGTAATCATCTTTCAGCAAATACTTGCTTTTTGAAAGTATTAGTGTGTTGACATTTTATCCATGTCACTTAGATATTTACTATTTGAATAATAGTTTTCAGTAATATGTTGAAAAAGACAGCTATGAAGATGTTTACAAAATGTCATATTTTTCCTAAATAGTAAAGTAAAACCTAAAACCATCATCACTTCTATTGTGAAGTTCTACTGTTGCTAAATCATTTTTTCTTGATTCGAATTGTTTATTGTGTTACTATGATGTATACACATATATGGTATAGAGTCATTCTGTGTTTGAGGCACAATGAATTGGTGCACAAGCCTAGAAGATATGTAATATATTATGACATTCCGCATGCATCAATTTTTTTAAATGTAGACTTTGTATTCTTGTTGTTACTATATATGATGATGACCTGCTAGTCGTAAGTTATCTTTATAAGATACTTTGGACTATTAGATGAATTGTCTGTTTGACAGTGCATTTAATATTTTACCAAATGTAAAAGATAAGGGCCCTTATAAAGTGTCCTGATCTCTAACCTGGGCATTTGTAGGGTACAGACTTAGAAAGTGGTATGTCCATTTGAAACCTGATTAGGAAGCTGAATTGAGAAGGATTCTAGAGCAGGTTACACAATAGATGTTGGTAACCATGCTATGTGAGCATTTCTGTGCTACACTCATATTTATGTGGTGGGGGGGGTGAGAGCGTTTCTCATTTAATCTCAAAATGTTTAAAGTTTCTAAGAGTATGTCTGTGTATTTGCAGCTTTATCAATTTTTAAAATATGGTATAATTTCTATTTAAACCACAGAGCTGTAATAAACAAAAAAGCCCTCAACTGGTGTTTATGCTACCAGTCCAAGAGCACAATATATGGTTTATTAGAGTTTGATTTTTCCTCATGAGTAAATTCTTCCCTGGGGAAAATTTAGCACTTTAAAAGAAGTACTTCATGTTTTAGGTTACCAGGATGTCTTTGTAGATAGAACCTGCTCAGGCACACAGACACAGAGGTTAGTGTGCTTTCTATATTACTTAATTTCAAAAGTATCTATAACAGAAAGAAAAGTAGGTGATACAGACCATGTATATATAGATAAGTTGGCAACCCAGATTTCTTCAGAGACTGAGGACACTTCCTTACTCTGGCTAGTTGTTATTTATTACCCGAAGTTAGCATAGACACTCTGACAGTTTTAGGAGGTGCGTATGAATAAATGCAAAACATAATTTTAACATTGAAGTTATGAAATGCTTAGGTCAAGACAATAATGTGATTTTGCTTTTTAAATCTTAAATATGTACAAGATGATCAGTTTTGCCAGTTGGTCATGGTGCATGAAGTGTTTATATGTATCTTTTAATGTTGCCTGGTATAAAACGTGTATTGTACATTTACCTGGTAGTTCGATTTAGTAAAAGGAGTATAGAAATAGGTAAATAATATTTATTTATTGGGAGCACATATACATTTTTACCCACTGAGTTGATTTAAAATGATATAGTACCTGGTTATTTATTTTGAATTTAGCCATTTTTCTATATACCTTTAACTTTACTGAAAAAATAGGTAATATTGTAATCGTGACAAATTACACTTACAACAAATACAAAATATTAGTTGCTTTGGTGAAGAAATGTAAAGGTGAGGGATTTAAAATACAATCAGAAGATTAAAAAATAAGAACCCTTTGGAAAGTCACTAAAGTTTCTCAACAAGATAGAAAATGCCTACACATAAAGCCCTATCAAACAAGAACTCTGAATAATATGAGCTTGATATATTGGCATATTATTTTGAAATGTGGTAAAAATGTTTCCAGAAAACTTTCTTCCTATTTACTTTGACAATTTATGATCCCAGTCTGCAAAATATATCTTGCAAACACTTCTATTTGAGTGTTTACTCAGTTTTAAAATTTCTAGTAAGTATACAATGTTCTCCTAAGAAGAGTTTTAAATCTGTAAAAATTTTAATGCACTTACTACAACTGCAAATATTTATCAATAAAACTGATTCCAAAAACTTGCTTCAGATCTTCTCTGTCACATTGGTAGTATCCTTGCAAACCACAACAGTACACAGAGTATTATTTTCAAATACTAGGCTTTGATTTATTGATAAGTATTTTTAAAACTTTTACTGACAGAAGTAGTCCAGTCCAGACCCAGGAGATATCTTCCCAGATTAATTCAATAGGATATCTAGTCCTTAACTTTAATAAAAACTCTATAGAAGGCAAAGTACTACCCTAAGTGGTCTCAGTCTGAGGACTAATTTTTATGTTATTACAAAAGCTCTAAAATGAGTAGGGCAAAGAACCACTATTAAGCACTGATGACAACCAAATGTAATATTTTTCTTATATGTACAACCTGAAATTCATTCTTCCTTCATTACTTCTCATAGTAAGTCTCTCTTCTGTTGTACAAATTTCAGAATTTTAAGATTTAATTTATACTCAACTGCTATTATAGCATTCTGCCTTTTAATATTTAAAAATAAATATTTTAGAATATAAGCAAATTGTTTTTATGAATACATTTCCTTTTTAAGATCTAGCTCTTATTTGTGTATTAAAGTGATACCATATATTGTTCTTACTAATGTAAATGTGTATCCACAGATCCATACATGTAGTATAGTGAAAAAAGTCAAGAACTTAAAAATGACAATTTTAATTTCAAGTTGACATTTCTGTCTTCTGCTATGGCGGGGAGATCAGTCTTACTGTCTGAGCCTATTTTGTCATATGAAATGAATATTGATTTACAAGATGGCCATGAACATTAAATAAAATAAATAAAGAAAGAATGGTGTTACATATATTTTATAACAGTTTTCAGCTCAATAATAATTACTACTTTTCAGGAATGTCTGCATTAAATGCCATTTTAATACAGGTTTCAAAACATACTTTTAAAAGCTGACTTGTACTGTAATTTATCCAAAAAATAGAACCAAGCTTATTTTAAGATGGAGGATTTTATCAGTGATATGGCTTTGACCAAGATATTTCACAATCGCTATTTCATTTCACCATCATCCTACAAAATCTATAATCTAGAACTCTTTCAATCATAAATACAGATAAACATAAACTTACGGATAGATAATAGAAATAAAACAACATTCCCAAAGATAAGAAAAATATAGTCATTTAGCAAATATATAAATAGGTGGTAGAGATAAAACTAATGAAAGATTGACTCTAGAAAATATCATTCACTAAATCTTTTATTTTAGAATGGTTTCAGATTGATGGAAAAATGGCAACTATTGTATACTCCTCACATACTCGACACCTGTAGGACATCAGAAACAATGAGGTGGTAATGACAGATGAATCCTATACTTTGTTCAAATTTCCTTAGCTTTTATGCAGTCCTTTTCCTGTCCCAGGATCCCATTGATGACACCACATTACATTTAGCTGTCATGTCCCCCTTAGGTTCATGTAGCTGTGAGAATTAAGAGAAAGCTTAGCTGAGAAAACTTGGAGCCTTCTCAGACTGTTTTTGATGACCTTGACAGTTTTGGTCACTGGTCTGGGGTTTTTCAGAGTTTCTCTATTTTGGGATTTCTCTGATGTTTTATGATTGGACAGGGTTTTTGATTCTGGGAAGGAATACCACAGAGTCAAAGATGCATTCTTAGAACATGCAATCAATAGTAAATGTCATCACCACGTCTTCATTTGCTGTGAAAATTTCTCAAACTTCAGGTTCCTTTCAGGAGTTTTACTGACCTTGATCATCAGATGAAATACTATTAGGTTTCTCTACTATAAAGGAGTAGGGTTTTTTTGTTGTTGTTTTTTTGAGACAGGGTCTCACTACGTAGTTGAGACTGACCTGGAACGCACTATGTACACCAGTCTGTCTTGAACTCACAGAGATCCTCCTGCCTCAGCCTCCTGAGTGCTGGGATTACAGGCGTGCGCCACTACTTCTGGCAGTAGTAGGGTTTTAAGAAGTTATATTAGAGGACATTTTAAAGTAGTTATATATTACAAGTAGCTGGGCATGGTGGTGCATGCCTGTAATCCCAGCACTCAGGAGGCTGAGGCAGGAGGATCGCTGTGAGTTCAAGAGCAGCCTGGGCTACATAGTGAGTTCCAGGCCAGTCTCAACTACATCATGAGACCCTGTCTAAAAAAAAAAAAAAAAGTCATATAAGTAAATTTACTGGACATTTGCACCTAGCTTTAAAAAAAAATAACTCTTAAGGATAGCCCTCAACAATATAATTAGGTTCCATTAAAGGCTTACTAACACATACTATGACTATAATAAACTGGAAAGTAAAATGGAAGAATAGAACCCTAAAACAGTGTTAGTGTGACTATTTACTTAATAGAGTGTAAGTGAATTTTCTCCAAAATCTACCTGTGTAATTAATGTAATCATCCACATGCTCTGAGTACTAAAGAGCTTACTCTTACTAATGGTAGTAAGAGGTACTTTAAAAGCAGGATTTTTTTTTTTTTTGTACCAGAGATCGAACTCGGGACCTTGCACCTGCGAGGCAGGAGGCAGCACCACTGAGTTAAACCCCCAGGCCAAGGTAATTTAAACTGATAATAATTCTGCTTAGTACTTTTCTGTATTCCCTTCATTGAACAGTGTACACAATACTAGAATGAGACTTGATATCCCTTTCCTCCCCAGATTCAACCAATCTGTCATAAGTACAGTGTTTTTATATATGATTTTAAGATGTTTGCTAAATACTAAACAGAATTTTAATGTGTTTGCTTCTGTAAAATATATTGAATGTGTATAATTTATTATTCTTATGTTCATTATATTTAGTAATCTATATCCACATTTTGGATTCACTGATATTTGTTAGTGGATTGTAAAGTAGTTTTGAGTACATGGATACAATGTAAGAAAAATCATGCTTAGTTATTTTGCAATATCAAAATAACTGTAGGTGCTTATGAATTGAACAGATACTCCCAAATATTTTTCCTCCAATTTAAATTTTTTCTGAGTTTTTATTCATCTTTCTTGAACTTATCATTTTACATATGTATAATACACATTCAGAAAATGCTAGATATTTCACCATGTAATCGAATTTAAGCATGACAATAATGTAAGAAAATTCAGAAGTCTCTAAGTAATATTTGAATTTTCAAAGTCAAACAGCTGTGTTCATTTAAAAATATTGTGGAAACCTATGGCTATTGTAAAATGCATATGCATTACACTTTCTTAAAATGTTTTGAATTAATGAATTCACCAATGTATCCTTAGACAAGTTACTGTTTCATTGGTGTAACAATATAAGAATAAAAGGTACACTTATATGTGTTGCTTAAATTGCTTATGCATCTGAGGGAAAGTAAATTCTGGCTGGATTCTTTACATTGTTTTATATAAAGTTATGGCTTATAACAATTTTTCACCCTTTATAAATAATAAAATACATTCTTGAAATGACATGTTTTGAGAATGCAGCTGAGAGATTTATCACGTTGGGTTCAAATTCCACCATTTATTTCTGTGTAAAAGGAAAAATTCAAAATTGAGCTTAGAGTTAAGAAATAACTTCATATAAAGATATAACAACCTAGTGGGGCCATGCTGTGCTCAGATTTGAATTGAGTGTCAACCACTATTACAGCCACACAATTTTGTATAGCGCGGCCTGGATACACAAGTGAGAAGATGAGCTGTCAAAGAATCATTTCATTCTTCCACTTCACTATGCATTTGTCACGTAGTGCTAAGGGATGAAGAGAGACAATGCAAATTCATTTTTAAGGATTTATACTGAAGGGGCCAGGGATTTGGCTCAGTAGCTCTGCCGCCTGCCTCGCTAGTGCCAAGGACCCGAGTTTGATCCCCGGTATCCCCCCCAAATACTTATATTTAGTAATTTTGTTTTTGATGACCGAAGGAAAAACTTTTAATCTTGTTAGAAGTTCCCATTCTTTACCATTTGGTTTTATTGTTAGAGAATAAATTAGGTGGAGGGAGGACGAGGGGGAAGTGATGGAAATGAAGAAAGAATTAAGATATGCTATGTGCATGAACCAACTCCCCACAAGTAAACATTACGTACTGCAAACATATCCTAATAACACAACTTTTAAAACTCTAAGTAGCCACTGAGGGCTTTAACGCAGTTGGAGTTGGGATATAAAGTAGAAGCTACTTCAGTCAGTCATCTATCTCTTAGTGTAAAGCCACTTCACTGAGTAGATAACTGCTCAAACCAGTTAGGTAGTGGGCATTTCCAGACGGGGCGGTCAGTCCTTGCGTTCTCAGGTTGGATTTATTCCTTCCTATCCGTTTCTATTGTAGACTCTAAATAAGTCTTCTGAAACCCGCAAAGAATTATAATAAAAGACTTCAGTGTTCCTGGCCGCTATACAAAGTTTAGGGGGTTGAGGGGGCAGACAAAGGATTAGGCTATCTGAGGCAGGTTTTTTGTTGTTGTTGTTTTCTTTTTTTTTTAACCTGGTGCTGAGGATGAAATCCCGGCCAAGGGTTCCACTACTGGGCTACATCCCCAGTCACACTGGTAGGTCTTCTAAGTCTCTGCTGTGCCGTAGTGCCACTCAACCTCCATTTAAATAAATAAAACAAAACGGAGAATGGTGGGCAGATAAGTCATTTTAAAGCCAGTAGATTCTGCAGATGAGTGGTATGAAAGCAGATGCTGTAAAATCACTCAATGCCTTAGAGGACACTTCGGCAACATGCTGCTTTGCCATCCTCTGCCCGATACGCGGCAGCAAGCCCTGAAAAATGCTCTCCGACTCAGGATTTAGAGGAGGCGCCCCAGGCCTCCGGGACCGCGCCCGGGACAGCCCCGCCCCTTCTGCTCAACTTTTGCCCTTCAACTTTGCGGCTTTCCCACGCTTGGCGGAAGTTATCACCAACGCTTCCGGCAGGCCCTTGAAAAGCGGCGCGGGCGCATCCGGCTGGGCGTGGCTAACTCTCGCTAAACATCGTGTAGTGTCGCGAGATCGGCTCCGCCCGGAACTTCCGTCCCCCACCATAGCTCTCCCGGCCTGGCTATGCCGTGTAGAATTTTGTGGGGTGCCGCACGTCGTCTGTGGGCCTGCCGGGCTCCCTGCCAGCCTCACCGGTTTTTTGGCTGCAGCGGCCCGCCACTGGAGGAGCTGTTCGTCCGCGGCGGGCCCTTACGAACCTTTCTGGAGCGCCAGGCGGAGTCAGAAGCTCATTTACAAGTCAGGGGCCTTGAGTTGATGGCAGTGGCCAAACTCCTGAGCCAGAAGGAGCAGGAGCTGCGGGAGACCGAGCACTTGCTGCGTGGTAAGGTGTCTGAGAGCAAAGTCTTGACTCTTCGGTTACCCTTTACGCCGCCTGCCAGGTGTCCACTCTACCGAGTTTGAAATTCTTCAGTTAGGTGCAGTCGTTTTTGTTTTGGATCATAGATCAGGGAACCATTACATGCTTTTCTAATCTCAGCCTCTCCTGTCGGCGCTCTTGAGCACCCTTGCCCAGGCACCGACCCACTTCATCAAATTTGGTTGACCTTTCTTTATTCCATCTGGCAGGAGCACATTTGCTTTACAAAGACAGATAAGGCACAGTCCCTAGCTTGGGCTCCAGACCAAAACTGCGCTATGATGTGGAGATCATCTGCAATAGTATGAGGAGCGGTGCTTGCCAAACTCTGACAGAATCTGAAACCAGGATTACACATTTTCAGCAAATTTCCCAAGTGATTCTCTGGCTTTCGAATTTGGGATGGGTCTTAAGTTTCTACTTAGTACAAGAACGTTAAGATGCCGAGCTACTGATCCGTGGGGTAGCAAGGATCCAGAGAGGGTTGCAGTCTATTCGTAGACACAGAACTAATTATGATACAGCCGATAAATGAGAGCAGTTCTACATATATGACTAGCGACTTAAGGGAGGAAGAACTTGCTGGGAAGGTGTTGCAGAAGTGGAAGGACTTACCCTAGAGGATAAAATAGTATAACCTTTATTGATACGATACCGATACCATGCTTCAGGCTTTGCTTAGCTTTCTTTACTAACTCATCTCATTTCGCATAACAAGCCATGAGCAATATACTGCAAGGCAAATAACTGTGCATTACAAACGGTTTACAAAAAATGGAATTGGGATTGGACTCACTCGCAGTTTCCTGCTCTATTCGTCACTGTATTTGTAGTGGGCAAAGGAAGAGAAGTTATGGGAAGTGGCAGATGGGATTCTTTCAACACTAAAAGTTGATTGTATTTTGGCAAAAGGGAGCCAGCAGAAGCTTTTAGATTGGGAAATGAGTGAATTGGTTTTGTCATCTAAGAAGCTTTGATTTATGGCAAAGTCAGTCTGGAATGGGATTAAAGATGCCATAAAAAAACAAAAAGCTAATGCATTATCTATGCGAGCTAAAAGTAAAGTGATTTAAGAGAAAAGCAGCAATGTCTTGATTGATTGGTTTGGGGTTGGGTTTTTTTTGTTTTGTTTTACAGGGCCTTACAATGTTGTTTAAGTTGTCCTTCAACTTACAGTATAGCCTAAACTGGCCTTAAACTCCCAGCAGTCATCCTGCCTCAGTCTCCCAGGTGCCTAGATTACAAGTGTGTATTACCACTCCAGGCTTGTTTTGAGCGGTTTATTTTTAATGATTAATTATTAAATGGTATTGAGAGTAATGACTTTTTGGGGAAATTAAATTGGACTCATAGTTTAAACAAGGCTTAAAATGCAAGTGGATTTAAAGATTTAAGTATTTTAAAAATCAAACTAGAGAAGTTGACAAAATGTTAGAAAATTGTGGCTATTGGAACAAAACAAAAGATATCATCAAGCAGGTTTTTAATTATTTCCGTGTCACACACCACTTGTTACCAAAAAATTATGGAATGGCTTTTAGGGAGCTTACAGTTTAATGAAAAAGAGAGATACTTAAGAAGTAAAAATATAAGTGAATGAATATTTTAATTTTTATAATAAAGAGAAGAGTGTTTTAAATATGAAACCTGGTGTTTGAATAGATCTTGAATAGGAACCAAGAGGTTTTCAGGTTCATGCAAGAGAAGGGCCCACACCCGTGATCCCAGCTACTGAAGCTGGAAAATGGCAAGTTCAAGGCCGCCCTAGGTAACTTGGTGAGACTCTCAAATTAAAATGAAAAAGGGCTGGAGATGTAGTTCAATGGTAAAGTGTCACTGGTTCAATCCCTACTACTGCCAGAGAGAAAGGGGTGGGGGAGAGGAAAGAGAGAAAGGTAGGGAGAGAGAGAGGATGAGGGGGGAGATATTGAATTAAAGGCAAAGGATGAAGGTATGAAAAGAAAAGATGAAGGTACTGTATTGGGAAATAGAGTATGGCAGGGCCTAGAACAGAAGATTGCAACATAAAGGAATCTCGAAAAAAACAAAACAGTTAAGAACCTAGCATGACAAAGAATTTGCATTTGCTTTTATAGATCATAGAAAGTTAACAGTGGTGGTTTTAAACAGAGAAGTGATAGCTTTTTAAAGCAACACTGATATTGGCATCAGTATTGAGGATAAATTGGAATATTCTCTAGAAACACTGGTAGCTGAAAAGCCAATGAAAAAATCATTAAACAAACCAAGGAAGAGGTGGTGGTAAGGCAGAGATCTAACTTGCAAGACATTCTGAAGAATAATAGGATTTGGTGGTCTAAGAAGGATGAAAGAGAATTCTAAGAAAAATCTGAAGTTTCTGGCTTCAGAGAATTAGGAGTGGTCCTCTTAACTAAAATGAAAATATAAAACTTGGATTGAATTTACAAAAAAGATGATTTTTACTGTAAAGTAAACCCAGAAGAAGGACATTCAGATAAAGGTATTCTGATGTAGAAGAAAGAAAGGAAGGAAGGAAGGAAGGAAGGAAGGAAGGAAAGATTGAGCCTGAGATATGCCTGATAAATTAAAAGTAAATGAAAATGCTTCGTGCAGATCTGTAGATACACAAATAAGAATAACAAGGCCAGAAATACGTAGTACCATATTTGAGGAGCAGACAAAAGAAAAACCTATGAGATCCAAAAAGAACAAGGAGACCTTTGGGTCTTTGAGCCAATTAAATAAGTAACAGCTGTAAACACCACTTACAGAGAGTTTCAAGTAAGAGATTCTTAGGGCTGACTTTAAAAAGTTAATACCTTTTCAAAAGTCTTTAGATTTTACAATTTTATTACTAGAAATTTTAATACAAAGTTTTCTTGTTGTGATTGTAGAGTCTAGCAATTTCAGAATCAGTTAACAGAAGAGAAATAATAAATCTGGCATGTTATTTCCAAATCTTGGTGGGAAAAGGGGTGACAACAAGCAATTTCTTTAAGAGTAAGAGAAAAGAACCTCTCTATAATGGAGAAACAGTGGAAAGGTGCCCAGTAAATACATATTGATTCATAATATTGAAAGAGAAACTAAACTTGGAAATGGCCTTTTAGAGCTGCACTGTCTAGTGTGGTAGCCAGAAATGGAATACAGCTATTGAGCTGCTATACTGGGGCTTCTTTGAATCAAGATGTTCTAGGAGTATAAAATACACAGATTTCAAAGACTTGTTATACAAAATTTAATATTTTTAAATTGATTATACAATGAAATATTTGACGTATACTGTGTTAAATAAAATGTAGACTTAAAATTATTTCTAACCTCGTTCCATTCTCCTTAGCCTTGCACAAGATAACATTTCAAAACTGAAAGGGACTTTAGAGTCATCCAGCTAGAAACTGATTTTACTCCTGATGTAACCCAGACTTGAAGAAGTTGAGAATTGTTGCCTAAAGAGCACCTTAGGAGTTGAGCTAGAATTCATGTTTCTTTTTTTTTGTTTGGTTTGGTTTGGTTTGGTTTTTGTCCCAATTCAACATACTGTTCTTTTTTTTTCAAATTTCTTCTATGCCATACTCTTTCCAAATTAATTTTATACCTTCCCATCAGTGTCTATTTCAGTTTTGCTACTGTCCTTTTCTCTTCTTGAGAGTCAGTCCTTTCTTTTTGCTCAACCCTACCTCCCCCAATAAAAGTTCCTTCAAACTGTGACATTTTAATATTTAATTACTTGGTGTTTTGGGTTTTTATTCTTCTTGAGATTTTCTTCTTCTAGAAATATACAAAGAAATTAAAATTATCTGTACTTCTGCCTTAAAAGTAGGTGTTTTTTCCCCATTGGAAAGGATTTCATTTCACCATAAAATGCAACCTGAAATAAATATGTCCCAATGGAAATGTGTACAGCTAGCTTTAAGTATCCTTGAGCTTCACTTTTGAGATGTAAACAATTAAAATTTATTAAGTTTGCAGCCTTAAATCTATTAGCAACATTCCAAGTAAAAATAATCTAGCAAAAATAGCTTCTTATAAAAACACTATACACACTAACCTTTCCTAGAAACTAAAGCTTTACTCAACCTTTTTGTTCTTTGTTATACTTGAAATTGTAAAAAATGAATGTTTGGAAGTCAGGGAGCATCACACCACTCTGTGCCACTCCCCTAAGACTTAGGGCACGTTTGAGTTTTCCACTTTCTTACCAGGACTGAATGTGCCATAATCATCTTCTCTTTGCATTGCACCAGTCACTTAAAAACTACAAAAAGGGGAGAAAAACAGAAAAAGCCCACCATAGCAAGGTGTTTTCCTGCCTTGGGCGGAGAATCTGTGGGTGCCCTCATTTTTGACAGTCCCTCCCACTTAACAGCTGTAGGAAACATGGTAACATTGCTGGCCTGTTCTGGCCTGGCCTGGTGCACACAAATGCTGCTTTGTAGTCTGCATGACAGGTGCCATTCTTAGCATTGTTGATCTTTGTGGTTTTCTTGATTAGAGGACAGGCCACATTATCTGATCAACAGTTTCAACGGAAAATTAAAACTAGTGACATGTTTGGAACTGAGGTGCCCGAAGTGGCCTTGTGTGTTAATGAGAGAGTTTAAGTTTCCAGCATTCTGTCTTCCTGTGAACCATGGGCTCAGGTTCCTGGGATATTTAGCTGCATAAGAAGCTTGGCTTCACACAGGCAAGAGCCACAGGACACAGGGCAGCGACCTTAGGGAGGCCCAGCCCTTCATTACCTGGTTCTGTGGTGGTTGCTAGGAGATTGGGAGCTCCTCTCATGGTGGTGGCTGCTTCTCTCCCTTCTCTCCCTGCCTTTGCTGTGGGACCTCTGTGGGTATGGCCAGGGGCTGCCTTGGTCCCTGTGGGTGAGCTTCTGGCATGGATGCTGCTCCTTGATCCTCAGCCTCAACTCTTCACATCTTTCTGCAGTTCTGGCCCAGCTCCTATCTGGTGTATGTTGCTCCTCAGCTCTTCTGTTGTGTGTGGGATGCACATGGCCTTTGCTGGACTCCCAGTTACTCTTAACATGCTTCAACCGGTCCTCCTTCTTGAGCATGCTGGGGTCACAGGTGGAGACCTCCTTGGCCTGCTGGTTGTCCTTGGGGATGCAGGCAAGGACCCCTGGGCATCTCCTTTCCAGGGAGTCATCCTCCAGACCCACACAGAGTGGACTCTGAGCCTCCTTGAACCCGACTTTGTCTCTTATGCTGCTTTTCATGTTCCTGGGTGTACAGGCAACCTCCATGTGGGGCAGGGCCTCCTTGGGGGTTCTGGGGGGTAGTGGGCCCCCGAGGGGGTGGAGCATGGCTGTGTGTGAGGGCTGCTGAAGGGATTTGTGCATGTCACGAGTCTTCTTGCACTGCAGGGTGCTCAGCTGCTGCACCTGCAGGTTGTGCTCCTTCTCCACCTGCCTCAGATTTTCCTGTTGCTCCTGTTTCTGCAGCTTCGCTGACTTTGCTCTCCTCAGCAGCTCCACCAGAAGCCGAATGGACTGGAGGTTCCTTTGTACCAGCAGCAGCTTTCTCTCCTCCAGCTTTATCTTCTGGAGCTTTTTCTGCTCTTCCACCTGAAGCTTCTCCAACTGCTTTTGACTCCGCCAGAACTCTAAGTCCCTCTGCTTTTGTGGTCTCTTGTGAAGCTTCTCTTCCCTCTTCCTCTCCCTCTCCAGTTCTTGCAGCTCCTTCTGTTTCTTTTCCTTCACCCGCAGCCTCTCTTCTGCTTCCTTCTCTGCGCTTTCCCTCTGCTTTTGTGGTCTCTTGTGAAGCTTCTCTTCCCTCTTCCTCTCCCTCTCCAGTTCTTGCAGCTCCTTCTGTTTCTTTTCCTTCACCCGCAGCCTCTCTTCTGCTTCCTTCTCTCTGCGCTTCTGTTCGCGCTGCTTCTCCAGCTCTTGAAGTTTCTGCCTCTCCAGCTGCCGTTTTTTAATTGAAACTTCTCCCAGGTGTTTGGTGGAATCAAAAGAAACTTTGATATTACAGGCCACAGCCTTGCCGTCTCTCCCTTTGTACATCAGCTTCATCCCATGCAAGGCCCTCATGGCCTGGAGGAACCCCTCATACTCACAGTACTGTATGTAGGCCTCAAAGCTTAAGTGTCCCCCGAAACCAAACACATGGGAACTCCGACCAGTCATCTCCTCTCGGTAGGGGTCCAGCATGGGGATGTCCACATTCCTGATCTCCCCAAACTTCTTGAACGCCTTCACGAGTACCTCCTGGCTAGGTTTCTCTGAGCCTGATTCCTTCTGGGTGAACCACTTGCAGGGCAGCCCCTGTAGGTGGATGGTGTCGGGCCGTTCCCCAGGCAGCATTTCATTCCTTTCCTTTGTGTTGAAGAACTCCCAGTCAGTGCAGGTGGGGAAGTCCATCTTGAACTCAGTGGCGTGCACTTTCAGGATTTCGGGGAAACCACTGAGCTTGATGGTCTTGCCATCCAGGCAGGCTAGGAATGACTGGACCAGGCTCTTGTTCTCCACCTCCCCCTCAAAACGGATGAAATCCATAGTGCTCTTGGAGATACGCAGTGTGGAGAACTGGTGATTGTGCACCATGTTCTTGAGCCGCTCCATCACCTCCCAGTTGGAGATGGACTTCCCCGGCTGCTGCAGCTGTGGGAGGGCCACGCTGATGCTCATCTTGGTGATGGGCTTCAGGTACAGGCCATAGGAGGGGCAGAGCTCCACTGCCTCAGATGTGTCATGCACTATGGTAGCCACAGCCATAGCCAGGACCTTAGGCCTGAAACACAAGGTACAGATGGTTAGAGTGAGGCAAGGGAAAGGACCACACTGGAGAGACCCTTTGAAAAGAGTGTCTTGTCACAGAAATTGCTCTCTGCCTCTTTAAAAGCCATCACTACCAACTGAATCTTCGAATGAGCACAGGGAGAGCTTCTGTGACTGGGGTCTGGCCAGAAGACCTGTGACCCCACAAGGGCACAGGACAGCCCAGGGAGCTTGATCCTGAGCCAGAGCAGCTCTGCCACCTACTGGGTACTCCATGCAGGCACCAGCTACTCCACCACTCAGTTGTCTCAGGCATTCTGTTACCCTCACCCCATCTGCCCAGCTGTCTTATGCTCCGGTACCCTCGCCGGTCTTCCAGATTTTGACACCCCCCCCCAGTGTCTGAGTCCCCAGGGTTCCCCAGTATTCCTGGATATCCCAGGCCCCCATATACATGACCCCACATTCCCAGCACTCCAGCATTCCTACCCTCCTCCCAGGGACCCTAAATCACATATACCTCAATAACTCATAGCGTGCATTGGTACAGCACCCAGGGACCAGCTATTGATCAAGGCTCTGACTGCCACACAGGGGCCCAGATACTTCCCCCAGACCCCCTCTCTACACCCTGAACACCCAAAACTGCTCCTGGAACCACCTTCAGCTCCCTAGTACCCCATATATTCCCTACTATCTCTTCAGCCCTTTCACACTGCCCCTAATCTCCAAGTTCCAGACCTCAGACCCCTGCTACAACCCTTGGTACCATATTTGGTCCCCCAAACTCTTCACACCCCCATTTGGCTCCTGACCTGCACTGCTCCTGGCCTCTTATCAGCCCAGCACTGATACAGTGCCCCCATTTGATAATATCCGGTACCTCTGGGGCCCACTCGCATGGCCCCGGAAGTAAATCAGATCTCCAGTACTCTTAGACCCTCCATACCACCCTCACGCTTAGCCTTTTAACAGCCCTGTATGAAGCCCTGGGTACCGCCCCCAGAAACCCCCATGCCTGGTTCCGCCCCCTGGACCCTAGGTAGCAGGGGCCGGACCAGTACAGAGGAGAGGCAGTTGAGGGCATCAAGGGTGGCAGCGTTCTGAGCTAGGGCTCCCCCACCCCACCCCCGCAGCGCCGCCACCTTCTGCGACCTGTGTAAAGGTAGATCTTTACACCTGTATTATGTACTATCGCCAGTTTCCGGCGTGACTGGTTCTTAAGCTGATAAAGTCTTTGATCTTTCACTGCACAATTTATGATGGCTAAAAAATTTCTCCTTTCACAATAACTTTCTGATTTTAAATTCAGTCTTGGTGTACCTAATGGAATCTCTGTTTCCTTTCAGGTCTTTCTGATTAGCTAAATGAATTCATTTGTTATCGTTACAGCCTAATCTGGAAAACTGAAGTTTATTAATGTATTTCATGAAGGTGAAATTATAAAAAAGTTTAGCTTTATTTTTCTGTATGCTTTTTGTTATACTTTTGTCATCAGAAAAGGTTTTTATAGCCACGTGCTTATGAAAGCTAATGTATAAAATGCTACTTTTAGCAAGATAGACATTTATGCTTCAACAGTGGTAACTTACTACTGTTCGTAACTTAATAAAAACTTACTTGTTGCCTTTTCAGATGAGAATGAAGAGTTAAGGAAACTTGCAGAGAATGAAATAACTTTATGTCAAAAAGAAATAACCAAGTTAAAGCACCAGGTAGGGTATTTGTATAAAACAATGAGGCATTTGTGCCATTTCTCATGTATTTATCTTCGTGTTTCTAGCACTAGTAGAGAGTCAGCCCTAGAATTCCAAAAATCACATGCTTTCTCTTCCATATTAAGGAAGCTTTCAAATTCAAATTTGAGTGTTTTAATTTTTCTTCCATAATAGTCCTACCTACAGTAAGCACTTATTTCTTATTAACTGAATGGAGAACTGATAAAAAGCATGTGAGAACTCCAAAAAGAAGTAAGATGAATTTTACTTACGATACAGTTGTAACATTAATACTGTAAGGAAATTCTTCTGCATTCTGTGTTTCTAATTGGCAAGATGGCAATTGGATTGGCAGCAGTATTAAATTGTTTGCTTAGAGAAATGATCACAGAACCCCATCTGTCCAGCTATCTCCTAGACCCAGGAACGCTCCCCAGTCGTCCAGATTTCAGCCCCCCTTTGATGCTCGAGCCCCGAGGGTTCCTCAGTATTCCTGGACATCCCTGGCTCCCACCTACATATGGCCCCCACATTCTCAGCTGTGAGAATTCTTTGGGGTTTTGTGTATAAGTTTTAAATAATTATTCATTATAGGAGAGGTAATATTTTTATATTTACAGATTATCTTACTCTTGGTTCCCTCAGAAGAAACAGATGAAAAGGATTTGATCTTGGAGGTAACTGCAGGAGTTGGGGGTCAGGAGGCAATGTTGTTTACTGCAGAGATGTTTGATATGTATCAGCAATATGCTTCATTTAAAAGATGGCATTTTGAAACCCTGGAATATTTTCCAAGTGAAATAGGTCAGTGAACTGTTCAGTTTGTTTTGGTAAAATGTAGATTGATTTATTTATCCACATGTGTCCTAGGAAAAGGGTTAGAAGATCCATGATTACCTTTAGAACTTATTTGTAAGAAAGTTTAGTTCTCTGTTCATTTACCTCATCATTTTGAATGTAAACATAACACTTTTGAAGTGGTCTGTAAAATATGATTAGTCATTCAGTGAAAGCCATTGAATGACTATTAAATCCTTTAAAATGGTCTTTTAAATGTGTCGTTAATGTCAGTTCACTAGCACCAAAAATGCTTTATATTTAATAATTATAAACAGCAGACTAAGACTAAATAACCAAGACTTGCTATAGTTCTTTAATGTGCTTATATTCTTTTCTTTTTTGATTCTGACCAGTATATTTCAAAATAGTAAATGTCAGTTATTTATAAATGGCAAGAATAATAAAAAGAATTGTATTTTCAACTTTCAAGGGGGCCTTAGGCATGCTTCTGCCAGCATTGGTGGTTCAGAAGCCTATAAATACATGAAATTCGAAGGAGGAGTGCACAGAGTACAAAGAGTGCCGAAGACTGAGAAGCAAGGCCGCATCCATACTAGCACGATGACAGTGGCAATATTACCCCAACCTACGGAGGTAAGGGATGGTTACCTCCTCTGAGCAGAATAACTTCAAATTATATGAGGAGAAGGAAGTTTAATCAAAGGTTTCTGTTTATTAATTTTGAGGAAAAGTTCTGTTTGACTCTATAATAGGGTAACTGGAGTTTCTTTTAAGTAATTTCTTTTAAGCCTAGATGAGGAGCTGAACAGGTAAGGGAAAAATGAAACTGAATAAATGGCAGGAGCCACACCTGGCTACTACTCACTTTGGTTTAACCACTCGGAGTGGTTTGCACTTAAGAGATGATAAAAGCTTTTATGAGAGAATGGGAAACAGAGGTTTGTATATCATCCAGTTCTTCTGGCAACTTTACAGGCGAGTCCTATAGGGACTTAAGACTAAGGGCATGGCAGTATTCTTAGTGCCAGGACTGCAGACGTGTCAGAGTAGTCAGTAGCTATTCATGGAACAGAGCTTTTGAAGCCCAGTGCTTCTGATGGTGACTGCTAGAACAAAGCATTATCCTGATTTCAGAACACAATGTATTCATTGATTTATACCCTTGGCTTGTTGGCCTTTGCTATGTCCCTTTGCCTCCAAAATATGTCTGACATAAATCCTTCCTATATTCAAGCCAGCATTTTCCTCCCTACTAACATCTTCAGTGTAGAAATATTCTTAAAATCTCATTTTAGGTCATGTGTACTTATTTCTAATAGTAACTTCTGCTGTTTTTGAGCATTAAGAAGTGTTTGATTTTGTTCTCCATTATGTTTTGATTCCCTACTTTTTTTTTTTTTTTTTTTTTTTTTGTATTGGGGATTGAACTCAGGACTTTCCACTTGTGAGGCAGACAGCAGAACCACTGAGCTAAATCACCGGCCCTGATTCTCTGCTCTTAAAGGAAAAACAGTTTCATAGTATCCTTCCAACTACTATTCTTAAAATTACATCTTTTAAATTTTAGATGAATGCATATATACAGCTGATGCATGTAATTTTTAAAAATCTCGTTTCTTCACATGTATAGATTAATCTGGTGATTAATCCTAAAGATCTGAGAATTGATACGAAGCGAGCCAGTGGAGCTGGGGGTCAGCATGTAAATACCACAGACAGTGCTGTCCGGATAGTTCACCTTCCAACAGGTATGTACTTATTTCTTGAACATAAAATATTGAAGAAAAATCAATTTCTGAGGAAAATGACTGATTTTCCACTGATACAGACCCTCAATACCAAGTAAATATATACTACTAAGGATTATTATTAGTTACATGATCTTAGAATCTGTAGTTGATACTTTGCAGGGCAATTACAAAGCCAGGAAGAGGGAGATCTGAGCCCAAGGAGTTTCCTTATTAATGTCTATGAAGAGAGGTAGTCCTTCCAAATGGCTTTCTGAAGTATGTATTTAATATTTTAAATTTTTTTTTAAATGCTCCAAGTGAAGTTATTATGGTTCTTTATTAGAAAATACCCTAAATCACTGTTTCTTTTCCTTTTTTGAGGACTCTTCAGAAAATGACAGCATTGGTTCTCCTGCCCAGAAACATACATCCACATAAAATTTTGCATATAATTTGAGGGGCTTCTTGCCTTTGTTGAATTTATTCACAGATTTCCAAGGGATCTGACTTCAATTCAAGGAATTATGTCTAAATCTTTTTAAGTCTCCAGTACACTACTATGTAGAACTAAGTAGTAAGTGTTACTACAGTGATTTACATATGATAAAGAACATAGGGCTACAGACCACACATACCTAGAGGAATACAAGAATCTCTTTCTGTGACTCATTTCAAATAAGCACAGCTCCCATTAACCAGTTTTGTAAATGAGTGCTGAATTAATAGTTTTGTGTTTTTTTTAAATACAGGCAAATCCTCATGTTAAACTTTAAGTTGATATATACTATAGAGTACACAAACAGGAATAGGAAAAAAAGTGGAAATCTTCAAAAGTATTAATAGTGCTATTTCTAATAATAGTTTTGAACTTCTATATATCTTAGTTTTTATTTCTTTAAAAAATGTAAGGTGGGTATGGGAAAGCAATCTACATTACATGATTTGTGATTATTGTTTAGTATGTATGTTTTCCATAGGAAGTACATTGTGGTACAGCTCAGACTTAAACTTGCAGTTTTCTTATGAACTTCATAAAGCTTGATATCTGCTTTTTATGTTAGAGTACTGTTCTACTTCCCTCATAAAGGAAGAAAAGGATAAGAAAAAAAGTACTCCTTGGTAATAAATACAGAGGGTTTTCCTATTAAAACTCTTTAATTCTCATCGTAATATTCAGGTGTTGTTTCTGAATGTCAACAAGAGAGATCTCAACTTAAAAATAGAGAGACAGCTATGAAAAAGTTACGTGCAAAGCTTTACAGCATGCATCTAGAGGAAGAAACAAGTAAAAGATACAATGCTAGAAAGATTCAGGTAAAAAGTAACTTAAAAATGCTTCTAAAAGATAAACATATTTTTGGCTAACTCAGTATTTCTATGTCAAAATTATTTTCATATATTTGTCAACATAAGAAAACAATTAGCTTAAATAAAGGTCACGCCTGTTCTATATAGTAACCTTATGTCCGTCCCTCTTTCAAAGGCATCTTTCTTAGGCTTTGTCAAAGTGACTTAAAAGAAGATAGTATTACTGAGTCCCTATTCATTTTTAAGCTTTTGAAATTATGGAAGCAAGAAAGTTGGAAAGTAATGTCTTTCTGTTTGGCATTTAATTTTATAATTTACAGAGTCTTTTTAAGAATTCCTCAACATGAGACATTCATCACCTTTTTACTACTCAAAATGACTACATTAGTTCACAGAGATTATGTATCATTGTCTATTTATATGAACATCAACTATGTGCCAGCTTCCATATATACATTGTCACTGTGTAGTAGACATTATTTGTCTTTACTTTATAGATAAGGAAATTAAAGTTTAGACTTGAAATGGATTGCCTGAAGTCATATAGCATTAAAGTGGCAGACGCAGGATTCAAATACTTAAATCTGATTTTAAAGCCCATTTTTTTCTACATCATGTTCCCTTATCATTTAGGAATTCAAATTATTAAAACTTTGTTCTTGAATTGTGATTTATTATCAATAACTTAATCCCCAAGGAAGCTAAATTTGTAAATTTAAGCTGTCCTGAATCTAACTGCATCTCGTATCTTTTAATAGGTTGGAACTAAAGGAAGATCAGAGAAAATAAGAACATACAATTTTCCACAGAACCGGATCACAGATCACAGAATAAACAAATCACTGCATGATCTTGAAGCTTTTATGCAAGGAGATTATCTACTGGATGAACTTATACAGTCATTGAAAGACTATGCTGATTATGAATCTTTAGTAGAAATTATTTCGCAAAAAGTTTAAGGTTGTTATTAAAGCCTTTTATATAACGTATGGCTTAGAAAAATTTTTATTGCAGTAAATACCCACCAGTACTTTCTTGAAAAATGTGTTAACCAGGTGGAAGTAATGTGCATATTCTTAAGGCGTGGATCATTACCTTAGATCTCTCTCAATGTTTTAGTAAAACACACACCCAGGATCACCATTACTGTTGTCATAAACCTCAAACTCTTTTGCATAAGATGTAGACAATGGAAAATAGTCATTTTTTTCCAGTAAAATATTTAACTGGTGATCAAAAATTTGGTTTAACTATTAGAAATGCTTCAAATATAAAATACATACCACACTAATCAGTGTCCAGATAGGAGACTGAAACCGTGTCATTAATTTGACTGATAATGAAATAAAAAAGAACTCTTAATACAGCAAGAGGTGGTACCTTAGGAGTGAAGAAACACCAAAGGAAAGAACACCCTTGCAAGCTCCCACCCACTAAACACAGGGCTGTTAGAACCACTCAATGATGGGAAGGTTCCTGTGTTGCCCTGGGTCAAGGTGGTATACAGCTAGTTGATCAGGCCTTATAAGCAGACAGCCTCAGACCCCAGCAACTGCAAGAAACTTTCTGTCAAGGTATAAGTAAAATTTATTGTCTAGCAGAAACAATAGGATGTGTATATATAGAGAAGATTGGCTCATGTAATTATCAAGCCCGACAAGTCCAAAATCTTCAGCATAACCCAGCAGTCTGAAGACCCAGCATGGTACAGTCCCAGACCTAAGACACCCTGCTGGAGAATTCTTTCTGTTTGGAAGTAGCTGGTCTTGTTCTAAACAGACTATCTGCTTATTGGATGAAACCACTGACATTATGGAGAAAGTAATCTGTCTAATCAAAATGCAGATTTAGCCAGGTGGTTCTGCCACCTTCCTCGCAAACACAAGGACCCTGAGTTCAACCCCCTTTAACAAAAAAAAAAAAATCAAATTTAAATGTAAATTTCAATTTCATAGAAACAGCCAGAATAATGTGACCAATTATGTGAGTATCCCTACGACAAAACTAACCTTCAGGGTCCAAAAGTGCCCTGGCAGCTGTGCCACAGAAAAGAATTAAAAGTCCCATCTTTTCACTATCCCTCAACGAGCCCTTACTGACAGGTTAACATGGTGCCAAGAGAAATGTACAGAATGCTATGGTCTGAGTGTGTCTGCTTCCAAATTCAGATATTGTCAGTCTTGATTAGTCTATGAGAGTTCTCCATCATGAATGGGATTAATGCCTTCATAAAAGAGGCTTTATGTGGTATTGAGCTAGTTTGCCCTTTATGAGAGCACAGCAGGAAAGCCCTCCACTACACAAGAAATACCAGCACCTTGAACTTAGAGAACTTTCTGTTCTTTTTAAATTAACTACTCTCAGGCATGGTGACACATGCCTGTAATCCCATCATCTGGGAGGCTGAGGCAGGAGTGTCACCATGATTCAGACCAGCCTGAAGTGCATGGCAAATCCCTGTCTCAAACAAAACAAAACAAAAATTAACCTACTTTCAGGTATTAACTTACAGCAACACAAATGGACCAAGGCACTGGTCCAGCTCTGGTACTGCTCTGGTCAGGTAGTAAAAAGTGAATTTTTTTCTGCGATGCACTAGACTTAACTAGCAAAACATCCACAGCCTAACTTCAATAATGTTTTCATATTTGCTTAGTGTTTGAGGTAAATTATAAATATCACAACACTTCATTAAATATTTCAACCTATACTTCCCAAAAATGGCACTATTCCACTGAAGCATTATCACACTTAACAAAATTCACACTAAATCCCAACCAAGTATCTCTAGACATCCAAGCAAATTTCTCCAATGATCCCCTAGTGTGTTAGAGGTGACTTCAAACTTAAGACCCAATTAAAGATTATGCATGGAATGTAGTGGTTGTATTGCTTAAATTTCAATCTAGAACAGCCTTGCCACCCTCCCTCCTTTTCTCAAGGGGTTGCATTATATTTTCATTTGAGAAGATCAAGCTAACTGTGGTTGTCATTTTAACTCATTCCTCAAGCCAGTATTTCTTGAAAATTGGAATCAGAGATTATGGGTTAGCCAGCTTAAACATTCCTCCTTTTCCTGTGACTTACCATTGCTGCCACTAAAATATTCATTTAAATAGGCCAGGTTTGAATGCTCCGATACTGGGATGTATTAGATTTTATAAATTTTTTTTTAAAAAAGGTGAGACCAGTGAACTAGCCCTGTAAATTGGAAGTTTATCCTTTATAATGAGCTTAAAGCTAAATTTCTTCTGTCAAAAGATTTAAAAGAAACAAGTTCTTCCTTTTTCCATGGAGCCCTGGTTATGCATAGCTCTTTTCTATGAAGACGGACTCCAGAGAATTGGGCCTGAGAGGGAAGGCCAGGAACGTCTGCTTGGAGCTATAAAAGATCTTGAGGTGTTGAGCAATAAAGAAGAGGTATCAAAGAAATGTGAGATGCTAGATGGTCCAAGAGTTTTGAGACGGTCTGGCGGTATAAATCAGACCGGCCTTGAGCTCACTACATAGCCCAGGCTAGCTTCGAATGCAAAATGATCCTTCTGCCTCAGCTTCCCAAAGGAATTTTTTTAATATAAGGTAAATTAAGAACTACAATTAGGACTCTACCTAGTAGATAATGCATGTTAGATTTATGACACTTGAGATATCCTGAGAAAATTGTTTCACCGTTCAACTTATAAGATTAAAATATTAAAAGAATCAGGAGATGTGGTTAATTCCCAAGACACCCTTTCCATATTGGTTAGAATCAACAGTAGTCTTGAGTTCCTACGAACATATGTATGATATATAAACCTCAAACAATATTATCAGATATTTCCTCTAAGTCAGGATGTATTACTCAAATTTCTTTTTTAGCCCTGCTTATGTTATTTGGCAGAGTAGTTTATATTTTCTCACCTGAATGCTTTAAAAGATATGTATACAAAACTATTGGAGACAAGGTACAGTATTAAAGCTGGCTATGAATTAAATCAGACTTTTAATTTGAAGAGAACCCTCACATGAAAGGCATTCTGTCTTCATAAGAACTGCCGAATGCAGCTTTTAGTGATCTGTGCAACTCAAGAATATCAGTAGGACTGATGGACCTCACTGTTGTTTTATCACTTCTAACATTTTTCGGGTTTTTGTTTGGACAAAAGGTACACATCCACAGATGATTAAATATTACAGTGTAATATTACTTAATTTCCCCTTACCTCTTCTAATAGGTAGTAATTAGAAAATTAAGTTTCAGGTTGAACTTTATTTTGCAAACAACAGAGGACTATTAAGTTTACATAGTTACACTGGCCCCAGCCCATCCGTTCCCTTATCTCTTGCCCCCAGGAAAAGAAAGTATAAGAGCTGTACTAGTTAAATTGGAGAAGAGCCTTTGATCAATTTTAAAACTTCCTGTACACTAGAACATGATAGAAAAAAGTTCTCTGTTATTTAAGTGATTCTAACAATATAAATTTAAAATGCACGTTGGGGACAGGGGCATAGCTCTGTGGTGGAGTTTATGCCTAGCATGCTCTTGGGCTTGGTTCCTAGCACAAGTGAGATGAAATGGGGCTGGGGCTTTAGCTCAGTGGCACTATGCCTGCCTCACAGGCACAAGGTACTGAGTTTGATCCCTGGTACCAAAAAAAAAAAAAAAAAAAAAGTATAAATAAATCAGATCTGTTTATTTATTTTGGAGACAGGCTTTCCCTATGGTATATAGCTCAGGCTGACCTTGAACTCATTATATAGCCCAGGCTAGCCTCCAACTGGCAGGAATCCTGTCTCAGTCCCCAGAGTGTGAGCATTGGAAGAGAAAGTATATTATAAACAGAGTAAATGGCATTTTGGTCATTCAACTGTCATTGGCTCCTCTTACACTAATTACTTATTCCTAGATGATCAAATGTAATTTTGGAAATCCATGTAATGGTATGAATAGAGCACTATAACTGCGGCAGCAGGAGCCTAGTGGAGTCCTAATAGTATTTCAAGGTCCTAGAAATGGACCTCTGTAGATATTTGCATAAACAATCCATTTATATAACTATCTTATTAACCATGTACTGTCACTCCTACCTGCCCTTGTTTATGCTGCATGCTCTATCTTGAAAACACCTCTGCAGACAGGTTTCAGGGGCCAATCTAAAAGGCCCCTCATGTCTTCGGTAGAATTAACTGCTCCTTCATTTATATTCCACAGTACTTTACCATATGCTGTGGTCTGGATGTGTCCCCCACATTCATGTGTTGGAAACTTAATCAAGAATGCAGCAGTGTATGGAAGTGGGGCTTTTGGGGAGTGTTTTGGAATGATGAATGCTATTATAAAAGGCCTTGATGAAGGGAGCTTGGCCCTTTTTGCCCTTCCACCTTCTGCTATAGTGAGCACACAGAATTCAAGGCACTACCTTGGAAGCATAAAGCAGGCTTTACCAGATGTCAGAGGCTCAATCTTAGATTTCCTAGGTTCTGGAACTGTGAGACGTAGAAGTTTATTCTTTTTAAATTACTCAGTCTGTGACAGTTATAGTAGCACAAAAGGGACTAAGATACCCTGATTCCTAAATAATTTTCTGCAAAGTAATAAATTCCCTTTTATTTCTGTCCCAAGATTTCATGTTTAATAAGGAAACGAGAGGCCGAGCATCATGGAACATGCCTGTATTCCCAGCACTCTCAGAGCTGAAATCGGAAAAATTCCAGCCCAGCCTGGGCAATTTAGTACATACTTTTATTTTTATAAAAGTGTGGGAGGGGAGGGTAGGCTGGTGACATAGTGAAGTTTAAAAGCCCAGTGTCAAGCCTCAGTAATGCAATAAATAAATAAAAAGAAAGAAAGGGGGAAAGGTGGGTCAGGACATAGGAGGAACAAATACAGATGGTCCATGACTTACAGTGACGGGACTCTTACACATACCTTTTCAGTTTTACAGATATAAGGGTCTCATTCCAGGTGCTCAACTAATTTAATGAAGAATCCCTCCTTTTTATCTTTGTCCATATCTAAAAATAAAGATGATCTTTAAGGTCAAATAGGGAAATAATGTGAAAATATACTATTAACCAGACCCCAGAAAATATTATTCTCAGAAAAATAGGGAATAAAACATATAGCCTTTTGAGTCAGATTCCCAACTTCATGGAGTCTGTCCCTTTCACCTTCTGTCATGTGAGGACATAGAATCTTCAAGAATCTTCCCGATCTACAAGATGCACATGCTTACTAGCTGTGCAGTTCTACAATCGTAGTCAGAATTAACTTACACATCTATGTATAATCATCATAAAATAAAAATGCTAGTATTATTGTAAACATTAAAGATTAACATTAATGTTCTTTTTACAGTACATAAAAAGAACCTATTATAGGATTTTGTTGTTGTCGTTTTTGAGACAGGGTCTGGCTATGTAGCTCAGACTGACCTTGAGCTCACTATATAGCCCACAGTGGTCTGAAATTTGCTGCAATCCTCCTGCCTCAGCCTCCTGAGAGTTGGGAATTACAGGCATGCACCACCACACTCGGCTCATAGTTTTAATACTAAACAAATCACTCCCTCGATAAAATCCCTACAACTGCTATCCAACGTAATCAGAGGAATTTTAACTTTACATGGAAATCTAAAGGCACAACAGGACCTGGCTTCTCCTTACCACTTTGCCCTTGTCTCCTAAATTCTTCCTTGCTGGGTGAGTTCTTGCCTTGGGAGGCATTCCAGTCTTCCCTCTGCTAGTTGTGCAGCTCTCCACATTGCCAGCTCAGCATTCAGATGACTCAAAGCCTCAGAAATCTTCCTGACCAATGTCCTTAACCTGTGTCTCTACTTCCATTCTCTATCCTCTTCCACTGTTTTAGGTTTTCTTGCATTTACTTAAATTCTTAATTTTCAATTTCTTTCCCATTTGTACATATACTCCCTGAAGGACTAGACTTTCACCTTTTTGTACCTGAATCTCCAGGTCCCAGCACCAGAGCCAAACAAGGTCCACGCCCTTATGTGCAAAACTTCAGGAACCCACAAAAATTTCAGTAACCAAAGTTACGCTATTTTAATGCAACACTTCAAAAATTAAAGTGGAAAATATAACAATGGACTCATTATAAAAATGTTACGTTAGACGGATCCACCCAGCGCTTGTATGACTCATCTTCAACTTGGCTCTGCCTCACATAGAAAGCGTCACCAACTGCACAAAACACTAACTGCAAAGTATTAATGCATTCTTTTAGATGCTGCAAGAAGCAGAAGCAAGCAAAGAGCACAAGGTGGAATTCGGGTTTTTTTTGAAGAGGACATCCTATGGCTTCACTGCGCTGCAGTCAATAATGCCATGTCACTGCTTAGGAGCACAGGCAAGTTGTCAAAAGTTTAGCATCACTAATAAATACCGTACAATTTGTCACTATCTGCTCAACAGGACTAGAAAAATATTCACCTGACCAGACCTCCAGCCCAATAAATTGGGGAATTTGCTTCATTTTGTTTGGCTCATGAAAGAAACAAAAACCCAGAAGAGAGTAAATACAAATTCAAAAAACTTATTGCTCATAAAAATCATATGTAGCTGAAGAACTGCAGCTGAAAACAAGAATACTAATACAGTATGATTAAGTGCTGAAAGGAAGAAAGAAATATAGACGCAGGCCCACTCAAAGGTCCAAAAAAGTTCAGCAGCAAATCTCCCGTCAGGACTGCTCAGATCCCTTCCGGGCGCCAGGAGAAACGCGCACCTACGCGCGTTACCTATTCAGCTCCCTCCCCGCCGGCCTAGAGGAAACGCGGGAGACCCCAGAGCGCAAGCGCCAACCCGCCAAGTCTTTGGTTTTCCCCGCCCTCTAAGGCGCCTGCGCAGAGGACGTGGGCTGGGGGAGGGCCCAGTTTAGGAGGAAACGAGAAGCGCGCCTAAATCCTAGAGAGGCGGGCGACCTAGGGCCGGTGGGGGGAGGGTCGGCTTCGGGAAAGCCCGCATTCTCCGAAGACCAGAGTTGCCACTCATCGGACTCCCAGTTGTGAGAGGATCGAAGAAATTCGAGTATCATCTGTACCATCAGAGAGCGTCAGATCCAAGCCGGAGCTGCCTTCAGGATGAAATTAAGACTTGCAGGAGGCCGGTTCTCAAGAGGGAGGATGGGGAGAGCGGCCGGTGCACACCTGCGCGGTAGGCCCTCTCCACGTGCGGCTGGGCGGTGGGCTCAAGGCCCTAGGAAGCCCCGCCCCTGGCCTCAGCATCTTTCGGTACGGACTGAGAGACAGGACGGTAGGGGGTTAGGCTTTGCCGCTAAGGCCCCGCCTCGCTGCTTCCAATTGGCCACGGGAGAACGAGTCCCCTCCTATCGCTTTTTTATTGGTGCGAGCGTGCGAGACGCTCGTCCCATTGGGCCGCGAGGATTTGGGCACCAAATTCAAAGATTTTAAAAGTACCAGCTGGCGCCTTTTAAGAGCTACAGCTCTGTGGAGCGGGCAGCCAGCTGCGCCCCCGGTGTCTCGCTATTCCTTTACCTGAGACAGAGCGCATGTCCTCTGGCATGAGCCGGCGCCCCTGCAGCTGTATCGCTCGGTCACCCTCCTGCTTGTGCAGCTTCAGCCCAGTGACAGCCGCCGGGCGCCCTCGCCCCTCGGACGGTGAGTGAAGGGAGCGGGCGCGGGGGAGTGCGCTCCCGGGAGGGCTGCTCAGTAAGGGCGCGCCCTGGACCCCGACCCGATCCCCGAGCTCGGGCGCCTAGCCGCACACTCAGAGCCTCCTCTGACGGGTGGGGCGGTGGTTCTAGGGTCCGAGAGAAAGCAAGCTAGGGTTCGGGAAGGGGAAGCCAGATGTGCCGGGTGAGACGGTGGGATGGCGGGCTGTGGGGTGCTGGCGGCCACGAGGAGCCCGGCTCCCGACAGCGGGGAGGTGCGGGTCGCTGCGGACTGGGCGCGCGTTTTGTCCCTGGGAAGATCTACCTGTCCCCACCCCGATGAATGGGCGCCAAAGCCCCCTCCCCTCCCCCACCTGGGCAGCGCTCTGACAGGGCCCCGAGCCTGCAGCCCCCGGGCCCGACCAGGTGCCTCACACCCCTTTCCACATCTGTCAGGACCCTCGCTTCCTAGGTCGCTTTCTCCAGCCTTCCGCCTCCTGAGTCTTGGCGGGCGCGGGAGATCTAGGTTATCTCCCGCCTCTGCCTGTCCCGCGCCCTGAGGGGACGTCCCACCCCCCACCGACCTCTCAGGATTTCCAGGGTCTCGCTCCTTCCGACTCCCGCCAAATGGAGAGATGCCCTTCCCATCTCAATTGGAACATACCAACAAAAACGTCAATTTTCCCGTTTTTCCCTTTGGTTAATAACTCTCTAAAGCCTGGAGTTGAAAGGGGGAGGTGTAGGGTTTTTTTTAAAGCATCTTTTAATACAAAATCGCTGATTATAGTTTTAGCCGATTTTTGTGAGAATTGAATTGGTTTTTATTTACCCTATATCCCTGTACAATTAGATATTCCATTCCATAACTTGGATTATTTCACAATTCAGACGCTTATTTTCTTTTTCTTGTTGCTATCTTTAAATGAAATCCTAATGCATTTATTTTACCTCACATGGCTAGAAATGAACAAAATAGCAATTTGATTTTTGTATTGTACAGCTTGATAATGCCTCTTTTATTAGAAAAGCAATCAAGTCTTGAAAGAAAAAAACTACTTAATTTTAGCAGGTTAAGTATATTTGTAGAAGATCATTAATCACAAATCTCCCTTTGAAATTCTGAAGCTTGATTTTTATAAATTCCAGTTTTTACTACTTTTTCTCAGAAAGTATTTGCTGCTTACAACTTTTTTCCTAGCTATAGATTAGAATAAATGAAATTTAAAAATTACTGCACCCACATATTTTTAAAAGGCTTTCCTATAATGAAGATTATGGCTGGTTTATAGGCTTTAGGCATGAGCTTTGGACCTCTTAAATTCTTAAAGGAAAGTCCATCCCTCACCTTGGGCACGTGGTGGTTGGTTATCTATAAGTTGAACACTGGAATTTAATTATATAATTAGCATACTAGACAAGCTATGTAGATTTTAACCACTGTAATCTTAATCATATTAGTGCGAAATGTCAGTTCACTGGAAAGTTAAATGGGAATCAGACTAAATAAAGTTTACTAATAAACTACTTTTTTCTTGATTGGACTGTGACTTAGTGAGAGTTTTTAAAAATGCAATATTTGACTCTGAATAGTGTCTTCATTTTAGGGAAAATAAGGAATAATAGGGCAAATAACTGTTCTAAGTTACCAAAGCTATTTGAAAGGCCGTGCAGGGATTTTCATCTGGAACTTGCATCTGATTCCTAAATGTATGCTCTTGTGTGCAAAGTATCTTACAGCTTTTACATGTTCAGGATTTTCATTGTAAGGAATATTAATATGAAAACGTTTGGCTTATTGTAGATAATGTGGTAAAATGGATTCTATTAGATCTTTGTGATAAGGGCTCTAAAGACTTAACTATATTTATTTCCTTTTTCTTTCCCCCATTTTGTGGGTGGGAAACTGAGACTTTAAGAATTGTGTCAATTTTCCCAAATTCTGGAAATGGTATTTTATAATTAAGATAATCAAGCAGGAAACCCAAGTGTATTTTTTTACTCCACTTTCCTTAGTTATCATCCACACTCAGCACATTTACAACTAATTTTTACTGTCCTATATAAGAGGACCAGCTCCAACCCTAGCCCTGTTCTAGGGATCGAACCCTCTTGTATCTACCCATTTCATTTCCGGTGCAATTATCCTAACTCCTGGTCCCCAACCCTCTGGACTCCTGTGAAAAACTTGGCTTGCCTTCTGTTGTAACCTTCCTCAAGCTGTTCTCCCCAGCTGCCAATGATCTTTTCAAAATATAAACCAATTCTCTCTCCAATACTTAGAACGGTGCAAAGGTCAAGATATCCTACACATACTATATAGACCACTCTTAACTCTCAAATTATTTTTGAATCATTTTCCTAACTCACTAATTTGCAATCCTACGCGCCTTCTCCTTGAATAATTTATACTTCTTACTTCTTATGTTTCCCTTGAACTGTTCCCACAGCCCTTTCAGATTTCAGAGTGTCACTTTGTTTAGATCATCCTTAGCGCACACCCTTAATTACAAACACCTTGGCAGGCTGAGGCTGGAGCCCAGCCTGGACAATTTAGTGACTTAATGAGATCCTGTCTCAAAATTTAAAAATACAAAAAGGGGTGGATGTAGCTCAGTGTGAAGGTCCTGGACTCAATGCCCAGTACTGCAGACAAACAAAACAGAAAAATAATTATCTTTCTCCCTCTCACCCTGTCATTAAGCAAGTATTGAGTAAATGGAAGTGGCAAAGCTAGCCATTGTTTGTGACAGGGTTTTGGTAGTTCAGGCTGGCCTTGAACTAGCAGCATAGCCTTAGAGTATTGGAAGTGCTGGGATTATAGGCATGCTCCACCTTGCCCAGCTCAAGCAAAATTAGACTCTTTACTGTCACTTATTTAATTCATGTCATATTTTCTCCCTTTTAAGGGTAATACCAGCTCAATTATATGAATATATACATTTTTTAAATTGTTTAGGAACACAGAATTTCGTCAGTGGGAAGTACCTGACTAGTTAGAGATGAAGAGTTCATTTACTTCAGCTTCCTTTCGTATAAATAAATGGTAGTATTTAATTCAACTTATTTTACAGTATTGTGATTCATTCATAATAATAATTCATTCATTCACAGTAATAATCTCAGATTTTAAAGTTAAATCTGCAACCAACATCCTGATTTTGGTTTCTATTAGTTTTCTCCAGTAAAAAGTGTTCCTATAAGGAACACTCAAAAAACAAAACAATGCAAATGCCATTTGCAAGTATGTTAAATGGGCACCCAAGTCAACTGAAAGGGCTCACAACGGTGAAAACTGGAACATTTTCACCAACAATTTTTAGTATTGGATTACGACCTGAAATCCACGAGTCTGTATTGATATAAGTGATAAAATAAATGGAAAAGAACAGATAACACTTCCAAGCAGAAAAATGATTTATATATTTTACCCCCCTCCAAATTCATCACTCCCTTGAGGTGTGGGCTATGTATAGACTTCCTTCAAAAGAGTATAGAAAGGTAAAGGAACACAAAGAAGTGACTTTACAGTGGGGAAATCTGACCAACACCTCCTCAGCCAGGTGATCAAGGTAAACATTGTAAACGATAACTTACAGTAATATTATTTACCCTTATTAGTGTATGGTGACAATAGCACTTTACCTCTGTTTTAAAAACTCACAACATCAGACAAACTGTGAAGAAAAATATGCAAATCCCAACCAAGGATCTTTCTGCAAAGGAAGTAAGGCTAGTTGGTCTTTCTTTCTTTCTTTCTTTCTTTCTTTCTTTCTTTCTTTCTTTCTTTCTTTTTTTTTTTCTTTTCTTTTCTTTTCTTTTCTTTTCTTTTCTTTTCTTTTCTTTTCTTTTCTTTTCTTTTCTTTCTTTTCTTTCTTTCTTTCTTTCTTTCCCTTCCTTCCTTCCTTCCTCTCTCTCTTCTTTCTTCCTTCTTCCTTCTTTCTTCTCTCTTTCTTCTTTGTGGTACTGGGAATCAAGGATCAAACTGAGGGCCTCTCACATGCCAGGCAGGCAGGCACCCAACTACCGAGCTGTACCCCCATCCCCAGTATAGAGACTAAGTTATCTTAGTTGGGATCCTAGAGCACAGAAAAAGAGTGAAAACTAAGGGAAATAAGGATTTTAACAATAATAGATCAGTGTTGGTTCACAAATTACAATGGGGCACTGTAGAAATCCCAAGAGTTGAGTGGGTGTATAGCAACTGCTATTGATGTGAAATACAGAGGTTGGGGTTGTAAATCTCTGGATTCAGTTTCTAGTACCACAAAAGAAAAAGCTGAAGGATTTTGTTCCATAAGTGCTTATTTAATGAGTGAGTATAGATTCTAATGCTGGTATTAACCAAAATACCTGGAAACACTTTTTTGTGTAAGTCTTCGTTTTGTCAGGTACTGTGCTATTTGCTTGAGATTCTGAAGTAAGCAACAGTAATTATGTCTGAAAGATAAAAATGTTTTTGTACTGTAAAGAAAAATATAAAAAACTCTTATAAATTGTAGGTTTGTTTTTATTTGTGAGCAAATCTATTTCCAAAGCACCTCATTCCCAGTTGAGATAGTGGAAAGAGCACTGAGTTTAGAGACGAAAAGAACAATCTGGCTGTCTGGACTACTTATTAAATCTTGTGCAGGGTTCTCAGCTGAGCATCCCTGAGCTTCACTGTAAAGATAATAGAGCTCCCCCTTCTACCTCAAAGATTGTATGGGCCAAGTATTTAGAAATACTGCAAACTGCAAACTTTTCAACAAATTTAAGATACTTGAATTGTTAGCTCTATTTTAAAAGAATGATCAGTATCATTAAAAGAATATTCAGTATCAAAGAATGATACTGAATGCTTTTGTGGACAGTCTTCCAGAAATAGTTCTAAAGACAATGAGTATGCCTTTGAATCCTTTGAATAAAGAAATTCTGAAAGTAAGGTTTCAGATCCCTTTGCTTTGGGCTACTAAATAAAGTAAAAGGTGTGTCTTTAAAGGTGGCTTTTCCTTTTTTATCATGTCATATAAATTGAAAGTCCTATCTAAATTGAAATTGTGGTGATCCTCCTGCCTCAGCCTAAGTGCTAAGATTACAGAAATGTGTCACTACATCTGACTTGAACTTAATTCTTTAGTTGGAGAAAGAATAAAAAACAATCTCATCATTTTTTAAAACACTTTTGAATAAAAGGAAACTACCCAAATGTGTTTTAGAACTAATTGGGAACTTAGAATTTGTATACTTTTAACTTATTCTTTATGTCCTAAATTCCTCCTACTTTTTAGGTTAGTCTAAAATTTAGTGTGATCCTGGAGCAAATAACTGTTTTTTATAGAAAGTAAAAGGTAGTTTACACTTGCAAAGTTACTTGACAAAAAGATAGCCATTTTTATTTTGACTTGAAAAGTTTTGGTCTAAAAGGAATTAAATAAATATAGACAAATTACTGGCATTTAATAAAGATTTGCTTTAAACGTTTGCTTATAAGGGTTAGTTATCAACTTACCCATCATTGGCTTATGGGAGGAATGAGAAATAGGAATGGATAAAGAAGATGTGATTTTTCTATAAAATGGAATACTACTCAGCCGTAAAGAATGAGAATTTAGATTCATTCATAGGAAAATGGATACATATTGAGGATATACTCCTAAGTGAAACAAATAAGTCACACGTGTAAATACCAAATAGTTTCTCTGGTGTGAAAAACTATAATGGTACATAAGATCCTAATGACATAATTGACAATGTGAAATAGGAAGAAAAGGGCTAAAGGTATAGGGAAAATGGGAAGCGCAGGGGAAAGGTAATAAGGGAAAAGAAAAAAATATGAGAAAATGAAAAAATGGAAATAAAGTGTGTGTAAATGGGGTGGGGAGGAGGGGGTGAAGGGAGGGCAGGGACAAGGGGAAAAATGAGAACCAAGACCTGTCATGTAAAGGTACACGATTCCGATAATGAATGTAGCTGTATTGTATACCTAAAATGTACCAATGAACTCAATGAGAGAAAAAAATAAATAAAGCATATGAAGTCTACATTTAACCTAGCAGTGAAGTCCCTATGGCTTTCTTTGTGTTCTAATTGTTTTCTTACTTAATATGCTTTGCTTTTAGTAGTGGTAGATGGTTTCCCTGAACCCATCTATCTTACTTCTTAGTATTGTACCTTTGCTCAAGTTAGCTTTCAGTGAATGTTCTTGCCAGTCCCTACTGCCTGACAGAATCCCAAACCTTTATAAAGGTGTCATCCTCAACTGAGGGATGAGGGATGATATTTTGCTGTTATTAATTTTCTTCCCCAGTATTTAGCAATGAATGGTAACTGGTGACATTTAGTCATTGTTCCATCTTGAGGAAAAGGGATGACACTAGTATCTAATGGGTAAAGGCTGCTAAGTATCCTATAATATTCAGTGTGGCCCGTAAGAAAAGAATTGGCCAGTTCAGAATGTCAATAGTGCAGAGACTGAGAAACTGTTTTGAAGTTATCTTAAAGTGTTGTTTGTCAAATTATATTATAAATGATTTCTTAGGCCCTAAGGTTGGGGTTGGGAGTAACAAACCTGGGGGGAAAAATACACACACACACACACACACATACATGTATGTAATTCAAATTTGAATCAGTAATGTAATCTAATGAATAATACCCAGAAATAATTGCATGACTTGTTGATAGTATCATTTTTGTTTCTTATGCTAGTTCTCCTTTGTACTTTTGACTTGAGTTATTTTACAGTAACTGAACAGTAACTCATACTTGTTATCTCAGCAGTTAAATCTAGTTTTTATGATGGAATGTCATTCTAAGTCTTACTTTTGATTGTTAGCAGTATTTCTGACACTGTTAGGCAAGATACACCAAGGCATTGTACCTGTGCATGAGTTTACTATCCATTAGAATACACAAAAACCTTAAAAATATCAGATGGTCACCCAGGTGGATCTCTGACCAAAATAAAACTCAGAGATAAGAACTTTGGGAGTAGTTAGACTTTATCTTAATGGATGTTTAAATGTCATTTCAAGTCCAGGAATTCCAGAAGTAAATACTAGAAGTACTTTAAAAATAAATTTTACTTCAGACTATTCTTGATGTATCATTTTCTCTCATTTGTTTGAGAAGTACAGCTATTTTGTGATTCTTTTTCCCATGTTTTTGCTTAACCAGATATAGATTCAAAATAATCAAATGTTATAGTTATGCAGATTCAGAATACATCTTTTTTGAAGTACTATTGTGGGAATAATTTAAATATATATGAGTATATATGTTTATGCGTTTGAGTAGTATTTCCACATAGTATGGTCATATGAGTAAGCTTGCATAATTTCATAGCTTTATAGGCAGATGCACATAGGCAATGCATAGTGCTCAGAAAATGTAAAATAATTAAATCATATCCCAACTTAAGGATATGTGGAAATTTTGCAGTTAAAAAGTAAATGTTGTCTTCTTTTTTTAGGTTATAAAGAAGAAAGTTCCACTCTTTATGTCAAAATGAAGTGTGATATTAATTGTAATCATATTCATCCTGAAATTAAACTGGTAAAACCTGATGACAGTGGAAGACAAGATTTCTACAGTCCTGCTTATTTGGAAGGTTCTTGTAAAGACTGCATTAAAGAATATGAAAGGTTATCATACCTTAGTTCTCCAATTGTGAGCCCTCGGACTGTAGAATTTGAAACGAAAAGCAAGCCTTTGCATAATAAGGAAAATAGACATGTTGAACAAACACTTAATAGTTCAAATGAAATAGAAGAACTAGAGACCAATAGGCTTTACGAAGACAGTGGCTATTCCTCATTTACTCAACAAAGTGGCTTCAGTGAACGTGAAGAGGATAGCCTCACTCTGGAAGAAAATTTCAGAAGCAGACCACAGTCCTGCCTGCCACAGACACAAAACCCAGACCAGTATCCCAACAAAAACTTAATGCCAGTTCTTCATTTTGAAAAAGTGGTTTGTTCAACATTAAAAAAGAATGCCAAGCGAAATCCTAAAATAGATCGAGAAATACTGAAAGAAATTATATCCAGTGGAAATTTTAGACTACAGAATATAATTGGCAGGAAGATGGGCCTAGAATTTGTAGATATTCTCAGTGAACTCTTTCGAAGGGAGCTGAAACATCTCTTAGCAAATATTTTGGCTCAACTCAGTGATATGGACTTAATCAAGTAAGTATAGTGTAATCTACTGTGGATTTTTGATGGCTCAGTACTACTGGCATATGTAGTGATACTATAGTGTTGTTTAATTGGGGTAATGGCTTTTGCTTGATAGCTGGTATTTCACCACCAGTGGTACACTAAAATGAAGTGGAAGAATGCATTTAATCTGGTCATTTTGAATTTCAAATTCATGGTATTACAAAACTGTTAGATTGGTGGCTTTCCATTTTAATTCTGAAATTTCTGAATTATGTATCTTTGGGGATTAACTAAAGCAGTCTAGCCAAACATGAGGATACAACCCTGTAATCCCAGCACTTTGGGAGGTTGGGCAGGAGGATCACAAGTTTGAACCCAGACCGGGCAACTTAGTGACTTAGTTAGAGTTCTTGTCAAAGCAAAAGGGTCGGGGAGAGGGGAATATAGCTCAGTACCAAGACCTTGGGTTTAATCCCTTAGTACACACCCATCCCTATCCCCACACACAAAACAGGCCTAGTTCCATTCTACAAGTATAATCATTGTCACAATTTTGTTGCCCATGAAGTATGAGATGATTTCTGTTCAGACACTTTTGATATAGGACTCTCCTAGTTTGTTTTTTTGAACTCAGGACCTTGCACTTATGAGGCAGGCACGGTACCACTAAGCTAAATCCCTGGCTCTCCTAAGTTTGACAGTGGTTAAAATGTAGAAACTCACAAATAGGGATCTGATTATGACTGTCTATTTTAAAACCTTGGGCTGGACACAGTAGCACACACCTGTAATCCCAGCACTTGGGAGGCTGAGGCAGAGTTATTGCCATGAGTTCAAGGACAACCTGAACGGCTTAACAAGATCCTGTCTCAAAAATCTTGATTACACCAAGGAAAATCCATTAGGATGGGAAAGATTGTATTTTGTTTTTAATAAAATGTATTTATTTTATCCTACTCCCCCCTCTCCCCTTACCTCATCCCCACAAGGGTGGGGTAGCTTTGAAAAATATGATGATTTTACTGTACAGGCTATTGTATTAGGTTGAGTTCAGCTCTCCATTGGGTTAGTTTTGAAGAAGCTCTTTGAAAAATTAGAATATTTGGCAAGTGTGGCTTTACTCTAGTCTTTATGGGTAAAGTGAAACATGTAAGTGTTGATATTTCTTATTGACTAGCTCCCTAGAGGATAATAACTCACAGATTGTGTTTTTTTCCATGTTAATAACTTTTTAGAATTTCTACTAGTAGCAGTGTGTCCCACAGTGCTTTGACATCTAGCATGGTATTATATACAGAATGCTGGCTATTTGGTTTTCATAAATATTGTAAAAACAGTAAAACACAGAATAGTAGTCCTTAACCTGGAATTACTTGATGTAGAACTTTTCAAAATAGAATGCTTTTTCCCATTTAGGCCAATTAAAACCCAAATGATTAGGCATGGGCATCCTTAAATCTTAAATATCCCAAGGAATTCTAATGTATAGTCAGATTTGAGAAGCACAGCTGATACATATTTCAATTTTAGCACTATGAATACTTTTCTACTATATTCATCTTAGCATCTTTGTCATGCTTTGTTTCTTTTATGATCATTTATTTTCCAGTGTGTCTAAAGTGAGCACTACTTGGAAGAAGATTCTAGAAGATGATAAAGGGGCATTCCAGTTGTACAAAAAAGCAATGCAAAGAATTACTGTAAGTCTTTGTAGGTGATTTTTTTTCTTTTCGAAATGCATTACTATTACTCTTTTACCTTTAGAAATAAGGAAGTAGCAGCCTGGCAAGGTGGTGCATGCCTGTGATCCTATCACTTGGGAGTCTGAGGCATTAGGATCACCAGGAGTTTGAGGCCTGCCTGGGCTACCCAGTGAAATCAAAGCAAGACTGAACTACAAAAAAAAAAAAAGGAAGTAGAAAAGAAAGGCAATCTGGAAACCCTTCTTTAAATTTACAGAGCATTTTAGCCTTTTACTAGAACTCAATAAGAAACCCTTCAAAAATAAAGAGCAAGGCATCCCACTTTGGTTATTTGTTGGATTCAAGTGGAATGTCCAAGGTAATAAGGTAGGAATCAAAATGTCCAAAATAATAGAGTGTAATGAGTGTTGACGATCTAGTGGGTCTAGGGAGATTTGTTTTATTTGTATTTCTTAGTTATTAAGAAATAAAAAGGATTTCTTTTTTGATCATTTACCAGAAGAACAGTAAATTATCAACATTCTTGCTGTGTAAAGGAAATGCTTTTACTTTTAATACTTGGTAACTGTAGATGTTTCTAGGAGTCAAGATCTATACATGACTAAAAGACTGCTACTTAGCCAGAATTATAACTTTAGATTAAAAGTAAGTTGATTAGTTTCCAAATTTAGTTTGTTCATAGGTAAACTGATCATGGAAAATTAAATAGTTTTTAAATCTTAGCACTTAAAATGACATTCGAATGTGGCTACTGCCATCTTCTGGTAATGGGTATAATGACCACTTGTTTTGTTGATTGTACTTTGACTTTGGATCAAGAGCCCTGCACCCTTGTGCCCAGTACTTGGGAGGCTAATACAAGAGGATTGCTGTGGGTTAGAGGCCAGCCTGAACTACATAGTGAGACCCTGTCTCAAAAATAAATAAATAGCATGCAGACTGTGTGTTAAAGTGATTTCTCAGTTTCTGGTTCCTACTTTCTGCCAAAAAATTAGACTTTCCATGTTTGAATATTTATGTGTGGCTGTATTTAAGCATGTGCAGGTAAGTTAGATGTAGGAATATATCCATTACATTCTCGTTTGACCTTTCTGATATATGTAGAAACTAAAAATAACTAGACTGTTGAATTTATGTAAGAAAGTGTCTTGATTATTACTAAATATTTTTTAATTAGGAAAAGAGCATTAAATTTTCACCACACGCTTCAACCAGAGAATATGTTATGATCAGAACGGCATTAGCTTCTGTTCAAAAATCAGCATCCCAGACTCTTCCCAAAAAAGATGCTCAAGTCAAGTTATCCAAGAAAGGTGATCAGAAAAGTTCTACATATAGTCGACACAGTGAATTCTCTGAGGTAACTTTGCTCGTAAACATATTAAAGACATTGGCATTTATTGTTAAAAGTGTTTAAAATGAGAAATAGGAAGGTTTCAAGATAAAAATATAACTTATCTCTAGACAGTAAATTCCATTCCATACCAAATTACAACACCTGATACTGGTATTCATTTAACTCTAATTATAGAATAATAAAAACTTATGGAATTATTAATCCCCTTCATTTTACTCTCAAAAATAACTTGAAAGTTTCTTACGTCTCAGCATTACATTTTACAGTTGCAGTATTTTGTAAGTGAAGAATGAGCTAAGAAAATGTCCGGCTCTTAGTAGTCAAAGCTTCCTATACTATCTTCAGATCGTTGACTCATCTCTACTAAAAGTTCTGCTCATACATGGATAATGTAAAATTTAGTTAGAAAACCATAATCTTTTTGTAGAGCCTGTGTTTTGAAATTAAAGCCTGCTACAGAAAATATAAAAGTGCTGTATATTGTGGTAGGTGATTTATAAAAAGAAAAATAATAGTGAAATCAATTCTTAAATGACAGACTCCAGGAAGATGTTACAGAGAAAGGTGGCATTTAAGTTAGGGATTGGATTTGTAAGTAGCACTCATGAGATGAAAGACAGTGTCTAAAAGTAGCAGTGGCCATTAGACCCCTTGACAAGTGATGCTTTCTCTTGCCCATTGAAAGGTAGGTAGGTTCCTAGGGGCAGGAACTGTCTTAAGGCGCAGAGGTGTCCTTCTTGGTTTTACTAAATTGCAGTACATTTAGTCCTTTCTAATATTTACTTAGGACTTTTTTTGTTTTCTAGGTTGCCAAGACTTTGAAAAAGAATGAAAGCCTCAAAGCCTGCATCCGCTGTAAATCACCTGCAAAATTTGATTGCTATTTACAGCGAGCAACCTGTGAACGAGAAAGTTGTAGGTTTGATTATTGTACAAAGTGTCTATGTGATTACCATAGCACTGAAGACTGCTCAAATGGCAAGCTGCTAAAAACCAGTTACAGAATGGGTCCTCTTCCTGGTACTAAAAAAAGTAAAGAGAGTCTACGAAGATTGTGACGTCTAACTAAATCAATTTAAATTATCATGAAGGTTAATTAGAAAACGTTAGGTTTTTATTTTAAAAAGTTTTAAAAATAATTGTTTTTAATGTTAATCACTGTGATACCTGGAATTTTGTTCCCCAAAAATAGAGGGCAGACAGCCTCTAAAATATTTTACAACTTGCTGTGAAAAGGCTTAAAAATCTCAATACAAATTAGAAATTTTAAATATTTATACAAAAGGGGAAACAGTTACCAAAGATGTGTGATTTAGAGGGTAAATTAAAATTTATTCAATTTCATGGTAAAACGTCCATGTAATTTTGTCTAAATAATCTTAAATATAAATCTGGTTTACCACCTTTTAGCATTATATTTGCTTTACCAAATTAATACGAACTCATCTGTCAGTGTCTGGAGTCTGTTAATTTAAATGTTTTGTCACTTGTTTTAAATGTTTTTTTTCTCAATATCTATTTCCAAAAACATGTTCTTTGTAAAATATTGCTGTCTTCTTTATTTCTGAAGGTAGTTTTAAAACAGTATTTTATGTGTGTAAATATTTCTGTGTTTAATGTGCCAAAGTAAGAAATCTATATTCATGTTAAAATAATTTTGCTTGTTATTAATAAAATTGGTATAAACTTACTAATGTATATCTTTGATTTTTTTTTTCATGGTAAAGGCTGCTTTATTGGTGGCAGTTAGTACAAGTCAATAAATATTAATCCCCAAAGAAGAGCTCAGTTATTTATCATATTACTGGTCCAGGGAGCTGATTGGAAGTGAGCCATCTGACTGCTGGTCAGACTAAAGTCATTCTGGCTTCTTGGCAAATGATGCCCCAGCCAAATGATGGATGGCATATGCAGTTCCACCAACTGTAAGAATCAGAGTGGCTCTGTACAGGAGGGCATCAGCTACCCCACCCTTCAGGTGCACTGGAATTCCATTGTCCTCCTGAAGCTTTTGCTTCTGTGGAACTTAATTTTCAAAACAGCTGCGTGAAGCAGTGCTGATGGTCCCTCTGGGCAGTCTGTCGAAGAGCCAGCAAATTCCACAGCATCTTTCCCAGGTTACAGTGCACCACCTTGACAACTGACTGCCAGAAACAAACACTGCCCCAGGCCCCACAGCCTTTGAATTTTATAAATATTAATCCCAAAAATAATTAGGAAGTTGTAATCAGTTGTACTTGTATGAATGCAGAGTGGATTCCTGTCTTGTTTGTGGAGAGCTTGTGAGAGTCCCTGGCTTTACCTGCATTCAAATTTTTCTAATAACAACAATATTTGTGTAATTGGGTTTTGAAGTAAGCATTTTAGAAAGACTGAAACAAATGCTAGTAAATGTGAAATTAACCATCATCTAGTACTAGAAAAAAGAATGTGTAATCTCAGCTGCAATCAAGCATTTTGCTAACTGCAAGAGCCCAAAAAAGGACACTTTTATTCCAAAGTGGAGTGTTTTAGTTTCAATTAGGAATATGAAAAATCACAAAAAGTTGAAATTGTGAGAGCCCTCAGAAATTTAGCAATGGGTTGCACAACATCTTTTGCCAGCATCTGAGCAGCTTCAGGGTTTTGCCCTTCGTTTCAGCAGAAATCTAAGGTAGAAGTTTACCTCAGGTGGATTTGTGGGGTGTTTGCTGGAGAAATGTAGACTCCAATAATCACTAATAAACCTGCTTTTTTTTTAAAAAATTATAGTACAGTGGATTGAAGCCAGGGCTTTAACACAGCTCAATCCCCAGCCCATTTTTTGTGATCCTCCTGCCACCATGCTCAGCTCTTTATGTTTAAAGTGGCTGTATTGAGATAAAATGACAATATTTAAAATGTAGAGCTAAATCTGCTTATAAGGTAATGAAAATAACTTTTCATAAATGTTTCCTGCCCCTTTGTAATCCCTCTCTTGAAATCCCTGGTCTCTGATTACAGATTAGCTTGCCCTTTTGAGAATTCAATTAAATCAAAGTATTTACTCTTTGGCTGTTTGCGCTGAACATTTGGAGATTCATTGAAGTGTATATTAATATACCATCCCTTTTTCTCAAGTGGTATGCAGTTGTATAAGTTTTTGTTTTTATGCATTTTGAAACTTAAAAGCTATATAAATATTTGGGATTGTTCTGTCAGTATACATATATCTATTTGGGGGGCGGGGGTAATGGGGATCGAACTCCAGTCCTTGCATTTGTGAAGCAGGCGCTTGAACCACTGAGCTAGATCCTCATTTTTAAATGACTTGCATTCTTAGATATGTCTTTTCTAAGGACTCTACACTGCCTGATATTAAAATAGGCACTCCAGTTTAACTTTTTTCCAGCTTTTTTTTTTTTAATTAGTACAGGTTTGTAGTACATGTTTATATTCCTTGTGGGAAAAACTGGTACATGCATGTGGTATATTTTAATTCCTTTTTTATCCCCTTCCCTTTTTCTACCTTTCCTCTTCCATCTCTGGATCCCCCCTTTTTTGTACATGTTTGCAATACATTAATGTTTTTAAAATTTTTGGCATAATATGACATCCATTTTCACTTTTTTTGGTATTTTTGTCCTTGTATTTGACATGTATTTTTTTGAATCAGCATATAGTACATGTTTATAGTTTATAATGTTTACATTCTTTGTGGGAAATTGGTACATGTATGTGCCTGGCTTATATCAGCCAGGCTTATATGTCTTCCAGGTTCATGTTGCAAATAGCAAGATTATGCATAAATATACCACATTTTCTCCACCCATCATCAATAGATACATTGATTCCATAAACTGTTAATGTAAATAATACTGCATATACATGGGCATCCAGATAACCCTTTGTTGGCTTTTTGTTCTTTTCTTTCTTTTTTTTCTTCTTTCATTTTGTTTCTTTTTAGACAGGCTCTGGTTGTGTAGTCCAGGCTGGCCTTGGCCTTGAACTGTGATCCTCCTGCTTCAGTCTCCTGAGTGCTGGGATTATAGATATGTAACACCATGCCCAGTTCAGATATCTCTTCAACATACTAAATTTATTTCCCTTGGATACATTGAAGAAAAATACATTGCTGGATCATATAGTAGTTCTATTTTTAATTTTTTAAGGAACTTCATACTGTTCCAAAATGATTGTACTGATTTATCTCCAACAGTATACAGTGGTTCCCTTTTCTCCACCAACACTTGGTATCTTGTCTTTTTTGATAAAAGCCTTTCTATTAGGATTATAGATTTGCCTAGTCAAGACATGGAACCACAATAGGTGGTCTTTTTTGTCTAGCTTCATTTTCAACATATATTGGTATAAAACAGTATCTATTTCACTCTGTCAGGAAAAGTCCATTGAAAACTTTTATTAAATCATAAGAATAGAGTGACAAGAGAAAACTCAGAGGCACTATTAGAGACTGTGAAAACACAAAGAAACTCATGCATTGTGGACCTAACTTCCAAACACACTGAAGTAGATTTTTTTAAAAAATAGTATTATTTTTCCAAAATTTAATTTTTAAAAGAAAGTTCATGTAAAATATTATAGTATTTTTAATAACTTTTCATTCCAGTAGATAAATTAGATAGCACTTATTTGAGAAGATGGGTTGTAGGAGTGTAAGTGAACAGATATACCAATGGATTCGCACACTGAAGAATCAGTGTTCCAGGCCCCGGCACAGGAAATTATGTTCTCTGTCTCTAGTTAAACTAGCATAAAGTCACGATTCTCAGGAGACAAATGCATAAGCCACCTCCCATACCATCTTGCATCTTCCGGAGAGACCCAATAAGGAAGAGAAAGGAGAATGAAGGTGATGTTTTCTCAGTACTCCAAGGAGCAGCAACAGTCTTTCTGAGTCTCCTGCCCTCCAGGAAACAGGGACTTTGCCACTGCTGAGATGCAGCAGCAGTGGAAGAAGAATAAACAGAGCAGCCTTTCCCACCCTTCCTCAGCCGCTGGAACACAGGCGATGCATTGGTGCTGCTGACTTCATACAGACTACTGTGCTTCCGTCAAAGTCGCTGCAGTCAGCTTACAGTTAACGCCTATTGGCGTTAAACTATTTGTAAAGCTTGACGAGAAAAGAAGTGATTTTTATTCCACACAGATTTTTGTGTGGGTACTGAGGGTGATGTGGAGTCCAGATGCAGCCCATGAGATCATAGAAGCGTATCTTCCCAGGGACGACTCAATCCTGAGAACTTTCACGGTAGAATGAAGATGGAATGCCAATCCTGTTAATTGACTCCTGAGAAGATTCATGACCATGTGTTTTGAATACTGAAAATACTTTTTAAGTAAAATTGTTTCATGTAAAATTTGCACCTCCACTATTTATTTTTTGAGAATTTCATCTCGTTTCCTATGCATAGGTGCCCCTCTGGAGGCTTTGCCTTTGAAGCTACTCTGCAAGGAGCCTGTGACATGTTGATCTCTTGGACTCTCAATTGGTATTTTTATGTCTTGGTCCTAGGTTTTTCAGCCCTTTTCATAAGCTTGCAAGCTTTGGAAGAATGTCAATAACTTGCTGTTTTTTCTTGCTATTATTCTTTTTATATTTTAATGTATTACAAATAGTTAATAAAATATAAAAGCTGTTCTATGAAAAAATTTTACACAAAAAATAAAGAATAACTGGTAAATATACTGTGTATCATCTTAATGTATTTTCATTTGCTAATCTATTTCTCAACTCATTTCCTAATAATACTATACCTTTTTGCATAAAACATTTCAATTATTAACAAAGTATCTCATACTTGATATAATTTTGAATAGTTTCTCCCTATTTCACAATATCTATTATACACTTTGGTCTTTATTTACACTTTCAGTTTCTCACTATAGAGAATGCAACATTTACACATATGTGTTCCATTTATTTCACTTTGAGTATGGTTTCAAGGTGCATCCATGTACCTAGAAGTGTCTGAAGTTTATCCTTTATGGCTGAATAGTACTCCATTATATTAAAAAGCACTTTTTTTTAAATCATTCATTGGTTGATGGGCATTTGGGTTGTTTCCAATATTTAGTTATTACACACTGTGCTGCTATATACAAATATGTGAATATA